GAATTCAGTTGTAGGTATTGGTGACATGCTGGGCTTTTTAAGCTCATTATATGTGGTTAAATGATTTTGATTTCAGGTTAGGGCAGTGAAGCAGGAGTGCGAGGCTGGTCAGGGTTCTTCAGGTTCTGTTTCTTTTTATTTTAGTTATTCTTTTGTACTCAGGACATGATAGATATGCGATGATTGTGTAGATCCTGAGTAGGGTATATGACTTTTGAGAATGAATATAGATGTATACATTGATGTTTTAAATTATAGAATATATTGTACTGTTTATTACCGATAGATGACATTAGATAGCTATGATTGTTGATTAATTAAAGGATAAATGAATAATTCTTCCGAATTAGATCCTGGGGCATCATATTTTTTATCACACAATAAGCCTGATACATTCCTCCACTTCAACCATCCAACTTGAATTCTACTGATAATATCCCCATCTATTCCACCATCACTCTCAACAATAGATCTAAGATATCTAAAACATGTACTCTTATTAATAACTTGATCACCCAATGTCATAATCCCCCCACTAGGTCTATTACTACTAAAATTATACTCCATATATTCAGTTTTAGATATACTAAGGCGAAAACCTTTAGACTCTAAAATACTTAGTCCAACCATCTTGCGTTTGAACACAAGTAACAATTGCATACATATCCTTAATGATTTGAATATAAGCATTATTAATATTTTCTTTTCTAAAACACTTCAAAGTACTTCTCTCGAAACTTTATCATACTCTTTCTTTAAATCAATAAATATCATACGTAAATCCTCCTTAATCTCTATACTTCTCCATCAAACCTCTCAATAAATGTATAGCTTCTATACAACACCTACCCGGCATGAATCCAAATTGATTTTGAGAAACATTACTATTATGTTTTAACATATGCTCAATAACTCTCTTGCATAGTTTTAATGTATGACACATTAACTCAATTCCTCTATAATTCACACTCTTGTGCATCACATTTACTCTTAAAAAAATGAATCAACGCACTCTTTCTCCACTTACCTGACATCTTTTTAGTCTTCAAAATAATATTGAAAATTTTTGTAAGACAATAAATTTCTTCATCTCCTAAGCATTGTCACATCTTTATTGGAATATCATCATGTCCAACAGTTTTTCAACACTTCATTTTCTTTATTTACTGATGATAAAAATAAAAACCTATATTTTCATTGAGGGTGTTAATGTCACTAAATTTAATCATATTCTCACAATCTTCATTTAAAAGCTTATCAAAATATTGAATATCCTCATCTAATAAAAGCACATTTAAATCCTTGTTTTTAATACACTTCAACTGAACTAAATCATTCTCCTATCTCTTTGCTTGGCTAACTTATACATACATCTTTCGCTCTCCTTAGCATCTAATCTATTATATAAATCATTAAAAGCTAAATTCTTACATCATATATTACATTTTTAGACTCCTCAAGTGCCCCTTTATATCATTCTAAATTTTCCAATCTTTTACATTTAGACTAATTTTTATAACAAAGCTTCTTATTTTTTATCTTTTATTGAACATTTCGATTCCACCACCAAATATATTTACTATTATGAGTTTTTCCTTTTGATTCTCCAAGCACATCCTTTGCAATATTCTTAATAACACTAGTAATTTTTTTCTCATGCACAGTCAAACCCATAGCCACAATAAATACTCTTAAAATTTTCTACCACTCAACCAACATGTTTATTTAAATCTGTTCCAATAAAATCTCTTTCTTCAAGAGGTAACCATTGTATTAATTTTTTTTAATTCATTCTAAAATTATAATTTTGAACACATAGACAAGTCTATTTGAGGAGCAAAAACACTTATAATATTAATAATCTTCGCATCAATTGCAATCTTTAAAATTATAATTTATCTCAAATTATATTAATTTCCATAATATTATCATTCATACTCTTATCTATAATTATACATATATCATTTCTAGTATGAATCTTACCTGAATATCATAGTTTAAATCATAAACTATCAATCCACTTAATCTTCTCACCAACCCATTTAGTTTCATAATAGCATAGAATGTTTATCTCCTATGAATTATAACATCTATTAATTCTATTAATTTGTTTGTAAGAGAACCTATTGTTACGAGCTGGCCCGGAAACTCGAATTAACAAGGCGGTAAAGAATAGTTAGACAGTTAATAAAATTTTTCACAATTACACATAACAGTAATGAAACACTGTCTTTATTAGGTCCCAAGTTCTAGATGAGAAAAGTAGAGTGTTGCGTTAGGCAGTCGATAACCAGTGTAAAACTTGTCGAATAATCATAATATCATGACATGACACATAACAGTAATGACTAATATTCCTCAAACATTGATGAGTCACTAATATTACTTATACATTGAATATACATTTAAACATAAACACATTTTACCTACTTTCATTTGAGCGTCGCCTTCTATTAATGTACTTCTCTACTTCTATTATTTTCACTTATCATGAGACTTACCTGAAAATATTAGTTTAATAGAGTGAGTTTACAAAGTAAACTCAGTGGGTAAATATTCTTATAGCATTACAATTATACATGAAAAATACATAATGAATTGTATGCATTTTTCTCTTTCTTTTAATCTAACATATACATAAATATATCAATTCATATGGGCTAGATCTTTATTATACCTTTGTCCAATAATATATATCTTTTTCAAATTAATATTCATCTATCTTTCATTTTCTCATTTATCACTTTCCCTTTTTCATTTAGTAAAGGAGTTTTGTCTAAAAGTACCAATAAAGGTACAACCATTTCTATTTCCATTTAACGTATAAGGATACGTTGCTTCCCCAGCCAGTATCATATGAGGATAAACTCCAATAATTTGCATGCATATACATTTTTTCCTCTTTTATTACTTTCATTTTTATATAATTCATAATCCGTATATACATTATACTATAATCTTAGTCATTCAATAATTCTCAAGATTGTTGCATATTTAACATTTAAATATATCATCCATATAATGATAATTCCGTATAATTATAATTCACATTTAAATTTTTTTTATTATTTCAATTAATTCTTATAGCATGCTTAAAAGGAATTTTAATAACATAAAGAAAAGAATTTGAAATTGCCATAAAACAATTATGCTATATTACCCACTTTGAATATTTTTATATGTTCAAATTCCTTCCAAATCTTTGATTCTTTGAAATATACCTCCAATATTCGTCTTAGTATGAAAATTTTCACTATTCAAAATAACACAAATTACTTTAACCATTTTCAAAGAGGGCTTTTGATTAATTAATCCACATTACATAATATTAAAGGGCATAAATACTTCCAAAATATCAATTACACTTTCTACCATTATCTTCTAACAAAATATGTGATTAAACTCTTCTCAATTAAATAATTACCTCAAGGAATCTTCCCTTCTTTCAACAAATCTTTCCTTCCTTCACTGCAAATTGACTTCTTTCACTATCGGATCTAAGCTTACTATAATTGAAATTTTCCGACAACAATAATGTTTCTTCAATTAGGAGAATTATAAAATTTTCCTTATCTCAGTTTGAATAGAAAAATAAGAAAGAGAATTTATTTACACTTTCTTATGAAAAAATTTTTCAAATCCAAACACTTTTTCTTTCTCCGGCAGATTATATTTTTTTCTAAAATCATATAGTACTATTACCAAAAAAATAAATTTTATAATTTATATTTTCAAAATTCATGCAGGAAATAAATATGATTGAAATCACTTACAAAGAAAAATTTTCCAATACCAAATCTTTCTCTCTCTTAAGTACTCTTCCTTTGCCTTTAAAAGAGATGAATCATTTCTTAAGATTAAATCACGAAGAAATTGCACACAAAGTAAATGAAATCAAAAATAGCATACCTTCCTTCTCCTTCTTCCTCTTAGACGTTTCTCTCGACTTCGCTTATTTTGCGGCAATGAGCGAAGAGGAGGGAGTTATTCTTCGTGAGGAGTCGTCTGATTTCATTCCCGAACTCAAACCTTCACTGAAATTCGAAAACCGACTCTTCCAACCCTGCCTATTCTCTCTTGCGGTCTGCTTAAGTAGTGGCTCTGCCCGGTTCTGCCTTTCTGATTTGCGTGACTTAGTTAATAGGGGCTGACCAATTCAATTGAACCGGCTAAATAAACCAAATCTTACACCTATATTCCAAATTCTTATACAAAACTAATTCTAGTTATATTGACTAGCTTATTTGTGCACATTCATCCATAATATGGGAATCATTGCTTATTTAACACTGCATCCAAGCACAAGTGCAGCAGCACTTGCACATTTATCGTTGTATTCATACAGTGCATCACTTTCAACGAATGCCTAATATTAACACAATATATTAAATGATTCATGTCATTATTATCTGACAAGTTTTACATTGGCTGTCGATTACCTAACGCAACCCTCCACTTTTCTCGTCTAAGACTTCGGACCTAACAACAACATTGTTAATAAATTTTATTTAGATAAAAAAGGCAAAATTAATATGCAATTTGGCTCTTGTATTCCTTTTCATTTGGGTGCCTCGAGTTTCATGTCGCCTCACATGCAGGTGAAAATTTATCATTGCAATTGAGGGGTTTTGAACTAGATTTTTGTGATGTCGTTTCAATTCTCTATTATTTTCATCAAATTCAATTGAATCAATTGCGAGGATCCTTACTTGATAACTTTGATGCTCCGAACATATCAGCACAGTCCATTTTGTGATACGAGCAATTGTTAAACATATAACATATTTATAATGGGAATGTATTTCAGACTAGATCTTGCATGATGTTGCATCGTTTGGCCATCCCTCACATCGTGTCCAATCAAATTGGGTTGTCGTATGTATTGAGATCAATAATCGTATCATTAGTAGTTATTCAGTATGGATTTTAAGCAATAAAAAGGCTGATAAGGAAAAAAAGCGGGCATATTTTATTCAGAGAAACTAGAATGAATAACTTACATCTCCTCCTGGGCCATTGATGTACAGATGTAACTTTTTTGAATCGTCCATGCTGTCAAGGTACAACATAGTTGCCAACACCTGGTTGCTAAATTCTTCATCTATATGCTGACCAATAAATATTACACGTTCTCGATACTGCAGATAAATTTAAATTAATGATATCCTAGTAGAGTGGCATATGCGACCTAATAGCAACAAAGCCCTTTCTATAAAATATTAATTTTATGTTTATCATACAAGAGCATTCCAGAGATCAACCCACTGCCAAGTTCCTTCACCTGGCGTCCTGTAAGGCACTCTTGGTGTACCAATGGGCATCATAGATATGTTTGGACGAGCATATTTCTTGTTCAAATTTCTGAAGGAAAACAAGGAAATTCCATAACCAACATTTTCTATGTGTCAGTAGTTATTAAGGAAAAAAAAAAAAAAATTCTCGGCAATACAACATTACATCATCTCAAATCCTTACCTTGAATTGATATTCCTGATAAACACCAAGAAAAAAATAATAATAAGAGGACTTATTACATTATTTTCATTATGTACACAACACGGAATTTTTATATTATTTAGTAAACAAGAAAAGACAATCGCTCTTCTGAAGTCTTCCTCTATCAATGTGAGTTTAAGAAGAATAAACGTTGCGATAGGGGCATCAAGTTCAACAAATACTAGCTGTACATCACTTGGAAAATAAAGGCCTAAAAATCAGATTAAGAATTGATTTGATTGTTTTGAAAGGTAAAGCTTCGAATTCTGGAAAAAGTTGACAAAAACATAAATGTAATTTCAATGTGGAAAAGGTATGGCTGTTGGGGATTATGCATTGGATTTCAACATCAATATAGTTAAGTTAATTATAGTCAAAATATTTGTCTCTCACCATTGTAATCTAGAAAAGATAAAACATCTCGATGCGTGATTAAAAAAAAAGGTTTCTCATAATCCAATTCAGGAATAATCTCACCAAGGCCATGCATCTGATTATAAGATGCAGAAATTCCTGCGACAGAGGTAAATGAGTTCACTGCTACATGGATAATTTCAAGTATCGATTTCACAACCAGGACCATTCACCATGAAGCCATTTTGATACTTTCTAAAAATTCAATGGGAATTCCATTCCATTTGTCTCACGTAGGCAACTGTAGAGGTATGCCATTGTTATAGTAGGCATATTCTTTGTTTAGCATCCAAAAACAACAAAAGAGGCCTTTGTGGTAAAGACCTTGTAGATGTAAGATCCTTGTTCTTATTTTTCTTCTCTCAAATTGGGATTTGTAATTTCTCCTTTAACTCAATACCTAACCAAGAGAGTATTTGATTAGGTTAGCAGAGAAGGAAATGCAGAAAGATAATAGGAGGATGAATTTGGGTTGGAAGGAGAATCCCATCAAAGGAAGATGTGTGGTCTTGGTGATAGAGAACAAAGAGGAAGCTTGAATTGTGATGGTAGACAAAACATGAAAAATGAAAGAAATAAAGAGATAGAAAAGCTTAAATAAATAATTGGAAAAGGGAAGCTGGGAGAGGGTGGTGTTCATATGGTTTGCATCAATTCCCCTTGCCACAATAGAATCTTCTCCTAAAGAGTTTAGCGGAGGCTTTGAAAATGGATGAGGAGACTCGGGTGGTACAACAGCCTTTAAAGTAGCAACAATTATCTTTGAAAACGTAGCACAATTGTTAGCTAGTAGCAGGAGCTAGCAATGATCCTAAGTCCAAACGTGGAAGCTCATCCAATATAGGAAATACAAACTCAATATGTTGAAAATGGAGTGGAAACTCAAATGGGATAAGCTTGGCAACCTGTGACATGGATAGTATGGTAAACGTATTGTTTGGAAATTTTAAGGGCATGGTCATAGCAAGTGAGGGTTGACCAGTCATCAAGAAAAGGCATTGAAACTTAGATGCAACTTGTAAGGATCATCTGTAGCAAAGAAGGGCTCAGGAATGGCTTGTACTTTAGGATATGGACCTAGTGGATCATGCTGAAAAGTAAATACTTCTTTCAAATCTATCTCATCATCAATAACGGGTTCATCCTCATAAGCATCCTCTCAGATCTCAACATCATTAGCTTTGGGTATAGCAAAGGTGTATACATGCAAACAGAATGAATTTCAACAGGAATCCATTTTTGGCAAGAAATCTTTCAAATTGATCATCAAGGGGATTAAGGAGCTTAGAGACTGATGAAGAATAAGTGTCCAATTCATGAACAATTGAGGAGCATTCATCAAATGCTTGATCTTCAACACATGGAGATCACATGCAAGCATCAATTCAATGGATGTGAACAATCAAGGTTAAATGCACATAAAGGGAGAACTGTTGAATTGTTAGTTGGAAGTTTTATGTATTTTTATTATTTCTTTGATGTTTGTTAGGTGGGGGCTTCATTAGGATTATGAGTTGGAACAAAGTGCTAATTAAATGTATATGTACAATGGGTCGGCCAAATAAAGGATTAATTATCGAGGTCAGCAACACATGAAGACTAAAGCAATTCAAGGGTGGACCAAAGGGAAGAAATGCATGCAAATTTGAATTCCCCGTGCAAGGAACATTCACAAGAGCAAATGTAATATCCTAATTAAGGTAAGTAATCCATCAATTCAAATTAAAGTTTTATTGTATTATCAGTAGTAATATTATTGAAAAATTAAATAATGATAATGCTAAGGAATATTATTGTTAAGTAATATTATTTTGAATTTATCTGGATAGATGCTTGTATATAGTGAAAGGATGTGAGAGAGAGCAGCTCTTATCCTCTTATTCACTAATCTTTATTCGGCAGTTTCCCGCAAGCCAAGCAAAAAGAAAGTCGGTCCAGTGAAGACAATGGAAATTCAGAAGAGGCTTTTGGGTGTAAGCAGTTATGAAGTGGGAGACACTTCCCATTGGCTTTATCTGCATTCCCGTGGAGAACCTTTGGAATATTTTTGTGAGGGAATTCAGTGCAGTGGAATTACCGCAAGCAATCCAGAAATCCCTATTCCACTATCGGTATAGTGTACAGAAACTGAAGGCATTTCAGTGAAGGAGTTCTTGCGGGACTGTAGAATTGTTTGGAATTTTGGTTCCTTGGACTGTAGCAAGAGGCTGTCAAGGGCCAGCAATTCGCAGAATTTCCTTGTGCAAATAGTGATTTTTTGGTTCAATGGAATTCTGTATATTTCAGTAAAAGGGAGTTTTGTAGAAATTGTGAAAGAAGGGAAACAAATTGCAGGTACGTGAATTGATCATATTTTTATGAATTGTAATGAATTGTAGTGATGTGATTATGCACTAGTTAAAAAAATTATGAATTAAGGTGGAAGCTTGGAGAAGAGAGAAAAGGAAGAATAGAAGAAAAGAATAACGGAGAGAAAGGAAGAAAAGGTGAGAAGTATACTATTATTCTTTATCTTTTATGTCACCTAAACTTAGTAACATGTCTAACAATGATAACCAAATTATATGGTAGGATTATTCATAGATTTATGCAGAAAGAAAACTTTGGGTTTGTGTATAAAAGGAGAAGACTTCGTGGTGTAGGTTTTGAAGAGATCACCCATCAGGAAGGTAAATTATGTAATTATTTCTTATTTTAATCATCATAAATGGTTAGTTTATCCCTTATGTTTGAAGTTGTATTATAATGAGGTGTATTATGAGAATTTGATTAGTCAACATGAGAGTACATTAAAGTACTCACAACTGTCTATCCATGAGAATAAGAGAGATTGAATAAATGTTTAAGTGTGCTTATCTCAGTCTTTTCTTAACTGATAATTTTATGCAAAAAAGTTTTTGTTTTAATTTAGTAGCTAATAATTTCTTAATAAGCCAGATGTATGAGTATAAGCATACTTGAATGTTGTAACCATTAAAATGAGATATGAATTATAATGGCGTGATGGAAGGAATATCAAGTTAAAAGTAAAGATTAACTATTTATAATATGATGTCTACAATATCAGGTCGGCAAAAGGGACCCAATTACTAAACATGTATTGTATGTGGGGCAAAAAAGAGACCCCAAAAGAAAAGATATATGCGTAACAGGTGGGGGCAAAAGAGACCCCTACTGAGGCAAAAGGGACCTCAATGTTATTGAATGATAATAATATCAGGTTTACTTGGGCTCCATTGAATATTGATCTGAATGTATAGCCAAGTCTTTTACATATTTAATTTGATATTCAGTATAACTCCGAAGAGGTAAAGAATAATGCTAACTAAAACTTATGATGTTGTTATCATTAAAAGTGATGTTTAATGTTTTATAACTTCAAGGTTTGATTATTTCTCTTGTCATATTATAATTGTGATTTAGATTACATAATTTGTTGGGCCTCATAGCTCACCAGTTATTTATTACTGGTTGTCTTTACAGGAAAAGGGAAATGAAAAGCGGAGGAAGTTTGATTTACAAGTATTTAAGTTTTATGTCAATGTTTATTTAAAATTTGAAATCTACTCTTTAGGTTAGTAAACAGTTTTAATGTTGTAATACTTTAAATTGTTTTGGACATCTTTAGTGGCTCTGTACAAACTCTTTGATGTGATGAAATTTGGGAATTATTAGATGCTTCCTTTGTTGTTCTAAATGATCTTTGATTTAGATTTGAAATGAAATCAATAGAAACAAAAGAGGTAAATGATGGAAATGTTATGTTATTCTTGTTACCCTCAACAGTACTGTTAAAGGGAACCACCAATCACTTCCATTTTCCCGTCCATCCCTTCTCCAACCTCACAAAATTAAACTAAAGAAAAGGTGTTTCTCTGGGTTTTCACTGATTAAACAACCCTACATTTCCACTAGCCCTTGGCAAATCCCTCATCATTTGTATATCAGAGACTTGGACGATGATTGACGGCCATGATCACACCGATCTGTTTTTGATTATTATTGTTTACTTTTATGTTTTATGAGTTTTGTTATTTTCTTATGTTTATACCTTTGCTTAAAGGGTTTAGTCGTATGTGTGTCCAAGGGGCAAGTATGTTTTTTGTTTTCATTCATTATATTTGGCTATATATAAGCCACTTGTATCTTTTTGGAGGTTAATGAAGAATTATTATTGAAATTTCTGCTTGGTGTTCTTGAGAGAGCTTGAGAGAAAGTTAGGGAGAAGGAGCCTAGGAGAGGCCAAGTGTAGTACCCAACAGCCACCTTTGGTGAGCTCTTGATCTTCCTAGTTTTTCCCCTCTCATTCCTTCCTTCCTTCCCACCGCCGGCAAAACCCTTCCCATCTTCTCCTTCACTCCACGGTCAGCCCACCCCACGACACCACCTAGCCGCCGGTCAAAGCCACCCGCCGCCCCTTTCTTCCCTCGGGTCATCCCCACCACCTCACACCGCCGGCCCCCTTCCATCCAATTCCAACCCGCTGGCCTCCCCATCCCCTTCCCCTTAGATCCCACATTAAATTCCCTATTAATATCTTCCATACTTGGCCTCTTGTATTTTAGGAAAAAATTTGAATTTAAATTCAAAATAATTTGAATTTAAATTCAAAATAATTTGAATTTCAAAAACTTTCTAATTAAACCTAAGCCTTTTAAGGAAATAATCTTCAATCACCTTAAATCTAAGATTAATTCTCAGATTTAACCCACAATTACAAATTAATGCCTTGGTCCACATTCATTGACTGCGGACACAATTCCCCCTCCCTCTCTAGGCCGGCCCACCCTACCCCTCTTTCTCTTTAAATTTTGCCATTAATGATCCCCAATTAAATCCCTAAATTAAGTCCAATTCAAATTCAAATTGTGATTGATTGAATCTATTCATTCCTATTTGAAAATCATTGATTAGGCAAGCAATCAAACCCCTCTCTCTACCCGCCTACCTCTCTCCCCTAGCTCCCAGAATTAATTCCCAAGGAGGAGAAAACCTTGCGGATTCATTGATCCCATACACCATTATTTTCCCTTTAAACGGTTAACAGAAGTCTATTTTTTCTTGAGAAGAGTTGTTGTCCAGAATTCTGAGGGTTGAGAACTGGCTGTTCAGAGTTTCCCACAACTCCAGGCTGCTGTCCCAACTACTATGGTTGCTGTCCAGAGAAGTCCGCACCGTTCCCTTGCTGTCCCGCTAATTGGAGAGGCTCCCAAAGGCTGTTCAAGGAAGCTAGGAATTTCAGATTGCTGTCCACTTCCTCTCCAACACCCCAATGATCACACTGGGGCTTCATGTCTCATCTTCTACGGGTGAACTCTTCCCCAACTCTCATATCTTCATAGCCTATTACTCTATTGTGGTTATAATTTGATTCACTATGAGCATGCTAGTTCTCCTTCGCTAAAACCTAGTACTATTAGAGTGAGTGGATTCTCATAGTGATTAAACTCATTATTAATATAGGGATATCTTGTTGAAAACCTCTCTGTATGCTATGTTTTGGAACTATTGATTGTTTGAGATCTTAACTTCATGTGTGTAGTTTGGCCTAAACTGAAATCACCACACTTTTGTTTCATGTCGTCGTTTAAATCACTTAAAGTTAATTCTTAATATTATTTTCAACAAGGAAGGCATGCAAAATCATTTAGTCCTACATCATCATAAATGGCCCATATGTCTTAGCTTGTAATTTTCTATATTTGTAGAAGGATATTGTTGGAGAAATTTTGTCATTCATTCTCAAAGAATTGAGATACTTTGTGATGAAGCACGGTGTAGAAAATAATATATTATCCCGAACGATAAAAATATTATTTTATTATGGACTAAATAACAAAACTCATAATTTTATGTTTAATAAGATATTTTCCCCTATTCAATATTTGATTGAATATGGTTTATTTTATTCTAGGATAGAACGGTATCATGTAGAGCTAGAGAATCTCGTCAGCACGATCAAGAGCATTAATGACAACTATCCACAGAAATGTGCATCCTGCCAGGCTTGGCAAAAGGTCAAACAAACTCAAATGAAGATTGAAAATTGAAAGTCAAACAATGCAGGGAAAGGAAAATCACATAGAACACCCTTACGCCAATTTGGAATCATTTATAGTATTCAAGCACACATGTTTCACAAGCATAGGATGATGTCATTGACAAAGGAAAGAGCATCCCCAACTATAGATCAAATGAGATCCTAAGATGGAATGAAAGATCAACGGAAGTGATTGCATCTGCAATTCATAATAAGATCCTTCAACACCAATCTACACTAAAAATTGGGATTCATCGCTCTTAAGTTTATCACACACGTAATAATGGGTGTGACAAGGGTTCCATGAGAACCTACTGGAAATAGAGTCCTCTATGAAAAAGACTAACCTATGGAGTAGACTATAAAAGCCATATAAACTAAAATAAAAAAAAGGATGTCATATCCTCTCACAAGATCTGAGAATGAAGAAAGATTATACTGCAGGGGAAGTTCTTCCACACATAACCAAGATCTTCCTCTCCTAGTTGAGCATGCCAATCTCAGCATTCTAATTCCTAATAATTCTCAAGTCCGAAATCAGCCATCAGTAGCTCATCTACCTACTAAGAAAATATAAAGATAGCAAAATTGGTTCGTTGAATGCCAAAACCAAGTACTCTTGAAGATAAAACCAAGCATTTAAGATACACAAAATAACAAGAAACTAAATGCAAGAAAATTGGTAGAAATTACTAGAAATTTAATGGATATGACCAAAAAACTATAAAGCGCCAGAGGCATATATGGCAGAATAAAGAAAGCCATCATAGGGTCTATTTGGTAACCTGTTAAAAAAACTGTCTTATAAACTGTTAAATTTGCTTGTCTTCTGGTTCTTGTGTGTATGCATCTGAAAGCCTGTGCAGACAAAATACCCAAAAAGCCAGAGTATCCCTATTATTTCAGTTCATGCAAATAAACGTTAAAATTTATGAATTAACCATTTTGAATCAGACCAACAAGGTGGGAATAACCATTAATAGAGCACTAGATGTCTTTCAAATAAAGGTAGGCGGTGAGGCAACATTTCTTAACAGTTCAATTTCACTGGGAAATAGATTTTAAGCGTTGAAATCACAGTAAAACAAAAATCGCAGAATCAAATTTTCTACTCCATGGTTTCCAAAAAAAGAGCAATTAAAAATTGGACGAGTAAATGGACTACAATTCTATGTTTTTAAGGAGAGATGAGTTCTTTTTGGAATTGCGAAACATGAGAAAGAAATAATACTATATTTTAGGCTGCTGGCCTACATTACCTCAATGATATGCTCCGATGAACCCTACAGTGGAAATCAACATTGACATTCGGTTTCATGGGGTTGAAAGTACCTAGAAAGCCATCACACAGTAAACAAGATAAAGTTTCAGTATAAATAAAAAGAGAAATTATAGCATCAAATCAAACAATAGAATTCCCAAGAACATGAACAGTTGTTTACCAGCGGATTGGGGTTTCAACCCAATAAAAACCTTGGTTTTGCAGCTGCAGAGAATCACAGGAACAGTCTTCTAAAATAAAATCAAACGATTTAGCAGATTAGCTCTTCGGAAACTCGAAAAAAGAATACCTTAGCGAAGTCCTGGGATCTCTGCTACCAGCGGCCGCGTGCAAGTATGAAGAACTAGCAGTGCTCGAGGATATTGCCATCCTCGACTGATACCAGCCGGGTTACGAACGTAAGCAAGTAGGGTTTTAGTGATAGAAAAGCAAATGACAAGATGGTGCTTGCCTCCGCCTTAAACTCCAGCGGTACATGCAAAAGCTAAAATAGGATAAAGGTTTCCCTTGTATCAAAACTGCAAGTCAGAATTTCGGATTATCGCAAGCTCCTTTGGTTTGCTTAATGGAAAACACCATAAAATGGTGACGTGTTGATTGTTTGCGTGGATATTCCTATATATATATATATATATATATATATATATATATATATTTTGTTTTATATATGTTGAAGAAATGTAGGTTTCAACTTATAGTAAAGTTCAAACTCCTTCCAAATTTTATTTATTGTATGTAAACATGTATCCATTACGCATTGTTTTAAAATTAATGCATATTACTCCACATTATATATGTATGTGCTGAATATTTGCTTCATATTTATTACATATTTATTGTATTTTTGTGGCATTTTTGTTGCATATTTACTTAGTTTTTACTTCTTATTAATTGTATTTTATTGAGTATTTACTACGTATTTATTATATTTTTACTACTTATTTATTGTGTTTTAATGAGTATTTATTACATTTTTGTTGCATATTTACTGTGTTTTTATTACGTATTTACTGTGTATTCAATGCGTATTTATTGCATATTTATTGTGTTTTCAATACTTATTTATTACATATTGCATATTTACTGTTTATTTACTACTTATTTTGTAGGAAGTGCATGAGAATAAGAATGAGACATACCAGGCTTACTGTCATTGTACCCATAATATTAGTTTTACTGTTCACAAGGATCATTACAATTATTGGTCAAATTCTAGAAAAATAAAATGCGAGGACATTGTCTTTTCAAAAGCTAGTTTCATGGAGATGCGTGATCCTAATTTCCAAATGAAATATTATAAATCAAACAACAGAACAGGTTGTCCAGCTATGATTAAGCTTATATTGGATGAAATTGGATACTGGAAGGTGAAATTTTTTATTAAAAAACATAATTAGATTTGTTTAGGCCAGCAGATTGACATCTTCTTAGATCGTATGGGAATGCATGTGATGAGAAAGCTTCAGTTCTTAAATCAATGATAGAAGCCGGGATAAAAATTATAAATGCATTTTCTACCTTGCTAGTGAAGTTGGATGTGTCTAGAATATTGAATTCTTTAAAAGGGATGCATACAACTTTATTAAAAAATAGAGAAGAGCAAAGATTGAATTTGGGGACACTAATACTTTGATTCAGTTATTTAAAGATCATCAAGTTATTGATAATATGTTCGCTTGGGATATCCAAATTGATGAATTTGATATAATGTTAATTTTTTTTTTTTGGTTGATGGGAAGTGTAGAATAGATTATGATTGCTTTAGAGATGTGGTGAATTTTTATACTAGTTATAGGCTTAATAAGTATAATTTAGTCTACGTACCATTTGTCGGGGATTAATAGTCCTTGGCAAAATATTTTATTATATTGGCCTTTTTGTTAAAAGAGGAGATTGAATCATTTACGTAGTTGTTTATAGATTTTGTATGAATAATAGGTATTAATCGAAAAATAATATTTATTGATTAACAGAAAGTAATGACTAGGTCATAGAAGTTGCATTATCTTACACACGTCATAGACTGTGCTAATAGAATATCTATAAAAAGGTTCCATCAAAAGTATGGTGCTTTAATAATAATAATAAATTCAAAGACCTCTTCCATAAGTGTTTGAGCAAATGTGATTCTAAGGTGGAGTTTGAAAAAACATGGGCAGACCTCCACAATCATTGTTGTTGCAATCCTGGATCTCCAGTCTGTGATTTTAATGATGACAAATAATTTTGATTGAATTATTACTTTCTTCCTTGAATATTTTAGATGTTATTTTTGTCTCTGAGCTCAAGATTGCTAAAGACTCAAGACTGGATAAAATAAGAAGTGAAAGAGTTTGTAATTTATATATTTTTTTTCATTTTTCATTTATTGAGTCTGGTCACAAAAGAGTGTATTGAAGTTGGGTGACCATGCACACACACACAAGGAGAGATTTTTTTTTTTTAAATAAAATTTTTTAAAGACAAATCGTACTGTATTATTTTTGTTTGTGATGTACGATCTGCTATCTGAAAATAGGTTTAACGGCTAATTGGAAGATTAGTTTATGTGAACTAATCGTACTGTACGATCTTGATCGTACTGTATGATTTGTTTCGATCTAAAAACCCTAGCCATATTTGAGATGACCAAAAATCTTCTCAATCGATCGTCAAGTACAATCCAATTTGTATCGTACAATTGTAAATGTTAATTAGCACATATTCGATTGATTAATTATAGAGATTAAATTAGGTAAGATTTTAAAAGCGCATACAATACAATTTTGTTTATAAAATATAAATAGATCAATTTTCAAAATTCAAAATATTGTGTAATTTTGAATGGAAGTAGTAGGGGCTTCTAATTATAACTGATCATCCTGTACGATTTGAATTATATTGTACTAACTTTAGAAATATTAAAAAAATTAATTACATTCCCATATAGTTTTACATGGACAAATTAGCCAGCCTTTATGGTAGAGCTTGCTAATTAGATTTTATGCTTATGCCATAAACTTACAAGAAATATACTATGTATCCATGAAAAGAATCTACTAACCTCACACTTTCTATAGTGACACACAAGCCTTTGGACGAAAATCCATTATAATAAAATTTTTCTTATGTTGTCCAAAAGTTCTGACATGATTTGCTCATTCCCAAGTTTACACTAATACCAAATATGATGATGGTGGATAGTATTTTTGTGAGAGTAATGAATAGAAATGACTATGAATCTTTAATTTAATTTTTTTAAAAATGTTCAAAAGTTTTAGGTGGAATAGTGAGGTGTTTAAAGGAATATGCTAGTAGGAATGTCAAGAATAGTCCAATTTGAACTATTTTGGTATGATTTTGAAGATCACCTTAAGGAGTGAATTTTATGCAGGATAAATGGCTGGAAATGATAGTGGAGGATTAACTTAGGATGTGAACTTATGATTTGAAGTTGATGGTAGATTTTGATGGAATTTAAGAGGATGTCGAGGCGTAAGGAACAAGGCCTTCATCCTAGTGTTCCGTCGTTTGGTCAAGAGCTATGTGGAGGTGTTTAGAATGATTTTAAATTTGGTTATTGGTTTAATGATCTTGGAGGATGCTTAAAGAGATTTAAAGAGTTTGAAACATATTTTTAAAAAAGAATAATAAGTAACTTAAAGAAAATATAAACATAAACGCCTAACTCATCAAAGATAAGCAAACTACTTGAAGCCACAAAATAACAACTACATGAAGAATACTTCTCCACAAAAATAGTTCATTTATTAATGCCAAATTATAATGCATTTCAACCCATATTTATAAGCATAACAATACTCTTGGGCAACCACCGTTGGATGGAAAAAAAAGTGGGAGACTTTTTTGCTTCAATTGAGACGATCTTTTTGCTATTTTTTAAAGCAATTTTTTAGTACAAAAATTAAAATTTTTATACTAGAAAGCTGTTTTACAAAGCAGTAAGAAAACCGTCTCAAACAAAGCCTTATACATATCATTTGCATTTCTAGTTTTGATTTAAACTGATTCAATTGATATAATTTATGTAGAATTTAATAAATCTATTTAAATTAAGCTTACAGAATAATTTCTCCTTTTATGCGCCTTCACCGTATACAGACAACCTAAGTAGTTAACAAAACTGGGTCTTTATTAATTCATAACCATGTCATACTTTACAAAACTATTCACTAAATAACGTTAAAATAACTTTATTCTTTAGACCAAATGAAGTAACAAAGAAAATTTAAATACTTTTCCGTCCCAGTCTGCACCAGTTGGGTCGTCGGATCTTTTCCCGGCATAATGGATGAACGCCACTCATCACTTTCTTTCCTTCCCAACCAGTTGGTTCAATAGGCTCTATTTTATGGACTCTTTCCCATAATTAGAGAGAAGACTCTCTCTAATTCACGAGCAGAATCTTCAATATTGTTGGATTCTGCGCTCCATGCAATATGCTCATCAGGTCTGACTAGTAAAACTCCATTGCTTGATAAATGACAAATCTCCCACCATGACCCAGAAGCTTGGCTCTTAACTTCTACAACATCTATATAGTTCCTCCATGGCTCCAATTCTGTGCTGCTACAATTTGGAATCTTTAAAGACGAACCATGAGGCCAGAGGATGCATACCTTAAGTGAGACATTGAAATTTTCGGCTGTCTTGAACGCCATGCATGCAAGATCATAAGACTCCTTGACTGGAGCTATTATGAGAAGAAATTCAATTTTGTCCGCGGGAACCAGATCCAAAGTAGAAAGTAAATCCTGCTTCAAAACTTCAGGCCATTAGATCACAGATAATAATTATAATTTAAAACTCAGCAATTCAGCTTTTCGAGTCTCATCTCCCTTTAATAAAGTTTGACTGATGATCATTATCACGTCTAACTATTCTTAATAATGTCCTCCTCGATCTAAATAGTGTGATCTAAGAATCACTGTCATAAGTAAATTTCAATGAGAAATAAGACCGTTAAAAATTGAGCTTCTTAAAGACTTCTTTGAAGTAGACAATCAAACTGACTATCTTCTTCAAGATTTGTTCGCCAAATTACGCCAAATTATTATCAAATGTCATCATTCTCTCTTTTTTTTGAGATTGCAGGATCAATCTATAAATCTGGCATTCATAGGAATTTTTTTTATATATCTTTATCATAATGCCATCATGTTTTTTCCTTCGGCATCAGAAGTCATTGAATAATTCATGTTAATACTGAAAACAAATTCATTTCAGCATGTTCACATGGCATCACGAATCATAAAGTAGCATGGCTCAAAAGTCATATAGGATCATGTATGAAGCAAGACGAAGAGATTCATACCATCATATTGTTGGATTTTTATATTGATTAATAAAAGCAGAAATAAAACTCAGGATTTAGAAAATTAAATTGAGAATTTTTCAATTTTAATTTTCTTAATAAATAGTTATATTTAAAATACGAAATAAAGAAAAATTACCAAAATGTTGATTGAGATCGTAAATATTCTTCTTCAAAATATTGATTGAGACCATAAGCCTTATTCTTCTAATCACCTCACCAAATATATTTTAATAATTGGGCACAAATCAATCAATTAATTATTGATGAACACTCTTTCTTTGAATGAAATTTGTGTTCTCAACACAATTTCAACCTACAAAAAGAAAAGTCTAAGAAACTAACCCTAGAAGATGACTAGAGCCCAAAACAAAAATAGAGATCCCAAAATTCAGATTCAATTCAAGCTAAAACCTAACCCTAGAAGAAGAAAATTACTTAAAGCAAAAATACAATTCATTCATTTTAAAAAAGTAAAATTCATTAATTCCTAAACTATCTTTAATTTTGAATTTTCCCTCCTAAACCAATGCCTCCATTATTGCATGGGCCCAGCCTTGATCTACCCTATCCAAGCTTCCACCCCCCTCTTTTCCACCTCCTGTATACGTGAACCAATCCATGAGGGACCTGTTCAGCCGGCCCTTGGGCCGGTCTAACATTACCCCCTCCTACAGACTTACCTTGTCCTAAAGGTGAAATGAAGGAAATTGACGCTTCACCCTCTCATATGGTTCCCAAGTGGCGTCGAAGTCGGATAGGCCCCTCCATTTAATCAACACTTTTTTGTTCCTACCTTTTCCTGTTCTCATCACTTTTAGCTCCAATGGTTCCAACACCACTTCCAAGCCCTCAGTCAGTGTCGCCGGTAACTCTTCACTAACTTGATACTCCCCCAGAGCTCTCCTCAACTGTCAAACATGGAATACTAGGTGTATGGTGGCATTCGGGAGTAACTTCAAGCGGTACGCCACTGCCACAATCTTTTCCAGTGTCTTGTACGAGCCAAAGTACCTCAGGGCCAATTTCTTGTTCCTCATGCTGGTCACTGTCCTCTATTTGTAGGGTCACAATTTTAAGAACACCCTATCCGCAATTTCAAACTGGATATCTCTCCTATGTGCATATGTCTGCTTCTTTATGATCAACTATGCCCTCAATAGGTGTCTCTTCAATTCCTCTAACACTTTATCCCTTTCCTACAAGTACTGCTATACTGAAGAGATTAGTGTGTTTTTTTGCCCAAAATGCACCAAATGTTGTGGGTCTCTTCCATACAACACTTTAAAAGGGGTCATCCGATAGGCCGAGTAATATGAAGTGTTGTACCAATACTCTGCCCATGCTAGCCATTTGGCCCACAATCGTGGTGTCTCAGCGGCCAATCTTTTGTATGTTTTTTGTACTTTCGAATGACCTCCAACACGCTCCCATGGAATTCTTGTATAAAATGGGGAATATAAGCTGAAGTTTGTGGAATCACAAATCTTCCTTGGTATAAGACTCTCTTCCCCTCAAGGGAGTAACCTGGGTGGCTCTCTCATCTTTCAGTAAATCTTCCTCAGCTCCTCGTCCTGCATACTCTCTTATTCGATAGCCCACCAGTCTACCATCAGTGGTACAGAAATGACCATCTCCTGGAGCTCCCCCATACATCTTGATAAAGCATCAGCCGCCTTTTCCAATCCAGGTCTGTATTGGATCTCAAAATCATATCCTGACAGTTTGGACAACCACCTCTGATGCTCATCTATCACCATCATTAGCTCTAGCAAGTATTTCAAGCTCCTCTGGTATGTCCTGAAATCTGTTGGCTAAAAAAAAATGACATGAATGCATGAATCCCGCTTTACAGCTGTAGGATTCCATTTCCCTTAAGTCAGATTGTAATTAACCAGATTTCCCCTAAAAGTAGTGTAAGGGTTTAAAGATCTGGAGTCCTTACTTCCCATGAGCGCAAGCACTCATAGTTAATTACCCCTCTTAGCACGTAAGAGAACTCTCGATTAAAGATGAAATAATTTTTTAGGTAATTTAGTCTCAATTGTGGGGAAAATGGAGGTAAACCCGATCAAGATCCCATGATTCCGTCGTCTCGGGTATACCGTAGATTTCAGTCTATCAACACTAACAATCATTGACCGTAGTGCCTAGGGAATCTGATTAGCAACCATGGGTTGCCTCTTCTCAGAGATCCCGAGTAGACTGAAGTGGTTAGATGTGGATTTTAATTTATTGGGTGTTTTGGGGTTTACACTATTAGAATACCTAGAAATTAATTTAGTTTGGGATTTATGACTTCGTTTAGAAATAACTCCAAAGTTTGGATTGGAGAGGGTCTTATGGCTTCTTTAAGAAGTAGCCTATTTAGATTTAGGTTGGGACTTACAACTTTCGTAGAAAGTAGCCCAAGGATTTGATTTGAAACGAAGCTTACTGCTCTATCTGTGAGTTGCCCAAAGGTGGGTCTTACAACCTAACTCTACAGCAAGGTTGCCCGGAGGTTTTAATTATTTGGGTAGGACTTATGGCTTCCCTTAGGAAGTAGCCTGAAAAAAATGAGTCTTACAACTTAATCCTTTAGACTAAGATGCCCATGAAATTTGTGTGTTTTGTAGAAGATCTTACGATAGAAATTTCACATGCTTTCGACATGGGATTAATATTATAATTACTGTATTTCAAAGCATTATTTAAAGATGAAATTCTCTCTTGAGGCTTTTGTCTTGATTTTTCAACAAGAATTGTTCGTTTGATTAGATTTATGTAGGGACTTATGGCTTTCATTAGAAAATGTCCTAGTTAGTGGGACTTATGGCCTCTACCAGAGGTAGCCTTAATATTTTAGTTGGATAGGTCTTAGTGCTTCCTTAGAAGTTGCCTAATGATGGGTCTTACGACCTAGCCCGATAAATTATGTGGCACGAGTTGTGGGTCTTACAACCAAGCCCTATAGACTAGGATGCTCGAGTGAGGGGTGTAGGGTTGTATTATCACATAAATATTTCCCTCAGATGTCGGACTTACGACTTCTATTAGAAGTGTCTGGTAGTGGGTCTTATAACCAAGTTCTTATAAACAAGGTTGCCCATAAATTTTGAATTTGATTGTGTGTTTGTTGAGAGGATGTCAATTGTTTAGGATTTGTTATATAGAGAATTTGAAAGTGTTGTGAGTTGGTTTGAGTTTGTGATTTTGACACTTGCTTGCGAGTAATTTGTTTAACTTTTAGTAGTGTGTTGTTTTTTTTATTTTGTGCTCGTAGATTTTTCCTATTCCAGTAATTGTCACTATATTTTAACACCATCGTTTGTTTGTTTCTATCTGCTTTCAGCACAGCTGCTTTACTCGCTTTTCTAGTATTTTGCTTTACTTGCTTTCGAGTACTTTGCTTTACCAGTAGTAGTTAGATTTATTTTTCCCAACATGTAACTCTATTTATAATTGTGCTGATTTTTATCTGCTTATTTACAGGTACGTGGTACTTGCAGCAGTTCAGGGAGCTCGCAGATAGTTGCAAGAGCTCGTACATGAAGAACCTTGGAGTGCTGGCTGAATGTTGTTTTGTACTTGTTTGAGTTAATAGAGTTGTTTGTTTGGAGAGCAGTTTGTAAATGTGTTTAGAGAGTTTTGTACAAGATTTTAGAGAATTTGAGAGTTGGTTGAGAGTTGTACATGTTAATTAGTGAAAAAATAATATTTCTTTTTCATGCATTTTCTTTCACGCTTAACTAATTAATCAATTAACTAAAAATCAAATTTTCTAGCTAATTGTATTAATTTCAATTCTTAAAACCATCGTACTTTAAAACTCTTTAAATTTAAAGCTATCGTATTTTAAAAATTTCATTTAAAACACTCTCGTACTTTGAAACTTTCGAATTCTAAATGATCTCAAATTTGAAATGCTCGTCTTTTAAATATCTCTTGAATTTTATATAATTAATTATCAATTAATTTCAACTACTTTTGATTAATTAAATTTTTTTTCAATTAATCAATTAATTAATTAAATTCCAAATTTAATTGCTTTATAATTGCTCTAAAAAGGTCCTGTAATTTTTCAGGAAATTTCAGCAACATCCTGACGTCCCCTCCCCATCAAGGGAGAAATCGGGACGGCGTTTGCCATAATTTCTTCCTACCCAGACCTAAGATCAACAACGTAGGGTCTTCGAATTGGAACCATATCGATCGGATCTAAGATACGACGATTCAGGGTCTTAAAATTTTAAAATCATATGCCCAGATCTAAGATCGATGGCGCGGGTATTCAAATTCAAACCATCAAAGCCGAACCTCATGTACGATGGTCCGGGGTCTTCAAATTTTAAAACCATCCACCCAGATCTAAGATCAATGGCTCAGGTCTTCGACACCTGCATGAAAGTCTTCTCTTTTTTATCACTATTGTTTCTTTTTTTTTAGATATATAATATTATATAAATAGTAAATAACATATTATGATATAGATATATCATAATATATATTTATATATAATATTATATATTATAATATACATAAAAAAAGTTTATGTGGGTGGGACGGGGCAGCGGGCAGCGAGCAGGGGGTAGGAAAATTCAAAATTTTTTAAAATAAACGGGTTTTCGGGTTGACCCGGCAACCGGTCGGGTCAACCCGAACCCGACCCGTTTTTGCAAACGGGTCGGTTTTTCGGACACGAACCCGACCCGCTTCGGGTTCGGGTCAACCCAAACCCGAAAATTCTGGGTCGGGTTCGGGTCGGGTTTTCGGGTCGGGTCCAATATTGACAGGTCTATTTTATACCGTGTGGGAAGTTAGAGAAGCGAAAAAGTGCATCGATTGGGGAGATCGCGCAAGGTGGGGCCGGCTCGGAGTCAGGTTCGTTACTTTGCATCTATTCAATTTATTTTTTCTTTTTACTAAGTCAACAATATCCTTAGACGAAGCAACCCATGGTTGCCGACAAGGGTCCTTCAGTCAAGTTGGGTCAACTACCTCCTATAATTAAGTAGACTAGGGACCACGACAGCTCGGTACGACCAAACCATGGGATCTTGATCAGGCCAATCATCATCCCCCATCACTCGCTTTAAGTGTACGATAATAAATTTTAAATCCAAAAAAATTCCCAAAAATCCAATTTTAAATCCGTAAAGTTGTTACTACTATATATTGTGTACTTAATGCTTATCTAATGACTAACCTCAATTGAAAGTGCACTCTTTATTGCAAGGGGTAATTAATCACAAGGACTTGCACTTATGGGAAACCAGAACATAGATCATAAAGTCATGGCAAAATGAGAGGGCAAAATCTCTGGGTAATGTCTTATCTAAAATTCAATCTGTCTTTTGAAAATTTACCCAAGAACCTAAACTTATTAAAACTTCCCTCATCGACAAAAAATGTCACGGAGAGACTGGGGTGCAAATTTTTGGAGCCCACACCCATTTAGTTTCTTAAATATATAGAACATTTATCTTCTTATGAATCATAATATCTATTAATTTATTAATCAGCTTGTTAGAGTACCTACAAGTTTCTATCATAATTATGGTTTCATGGACTAACTTCTTTGCCATATCTATCAATGATATGGGAAACCTTTGCTTATTTAGCATTACACCCGGGTGCCAATGTAGCAGCCCTTGCACATTTTGCACTATATTCAAACCATATAGTGCATCACTTCTAAGCATTTACACAATGTATTCAAGGATTCATGTCATGATTGTTTGAAAAGTTTTATGCTGGCTATCAACTATCTAACTCAACCCTCCACTTTTCTCAACTTGAGTTTGGAACCTGACAACGATAGTGTTGCATTCCAAATTTTGAGGCAATCAACATTAATGTAATGAAGCAAAGGAATCACAATAATGAAGGGATTCCTCAAAAGGCCTGTATAGCTAGGTTATTTTCTTGTCCGCTATGTTAGCTTAGTAAGCCTAAACAACAAAAACATACGCATGGGGTTGGTCATGCACAATGTCTCTAACCAGCCTGTTTAATTAGAGCCAAGCTACAAACTCCACATGTCAAATCTCATTCATACCGACATAATCTTCTAAGTTGTTCTATAAGCCAGTTCATTGATTGAAACTATCATTTTATATGTCTAACCTTATTAGATTTCTATTACATTTATTTAAAATCTATGAATACGCATTACTTAATTTGAGATTTGATGTGTCCTATAAGAAAAACTGATTTTCATTATTTTTTAACATACTTTTAAATTTTTTAGAAACATTTTAATCTAACTGCCATTATTCAAAAAATATATGTATAAAAATGTTGATTTAAAAGAAGGAAAACAGCTAACCTCACTTGATGAAGCTTTTAATGCCTTAATTTGCATGTGCGGCAACCTTGCTCCTGGTTTCGATGAAGGAACATAGCTCCTTGACCCCCGCTTAAAATAATTAACACAACCTCTTTCCCAAGTTTTATCATTATTCTGAGAAACTAAAGCTCCTTCAATGTATCTGTAGAACAAATAGAGCATTTTGCAAACTCCTCTCTTAAAGAATAAGAAGATGCTACTGAAATTTGTAACATGCTTTGTATTATCAATGCACGTGATGGTAATAAAAAGAAAAAAGTAAAAATTACTACCAATACTTGGTTGAGTGGTATTGATTTTGACCTCCAAAATGGAGGTGAGAGTTTCAAATCATTTGAAGAAAAGAAAAAACCAACAAACTTTAGCACGACTGTCTCTTTCATGTAAACATCCCCAATATGTGAATAAGAGAAGTATGCAGATTCTACAGCATCTAACTGGTGTCTTACTAACCTGAAACCAAGATCCTCAGCAGGAAACTGGAGTTGAAGGCTTTTTCCCTCATCAAATATCTTCTTAAGTCTTGCAAGCCTCACAGAGCCAATGGGATTCTTTTCATTCAGAATGAATGGAGAAAGTTGTGCCCTACCCAAAGAAAAGATTCGCTCCAATGCAACTTTCTGAAAGCTATCAGGGAAAATGGAGCCAAAGCTATTCATCACTCTTTGTACTGCAACATTTTGTTAAAACTGCAATGTTACAACTTACAAGTTTAATAAAGAGGAGCATAAATATGCACAAATTTCTTTTACTTTGACCGGATGAATACGTGGGGAAAATAAAATAAAATATCTTAATTAAATTGGAAAAATATTTAATACCTAAGTTTGCAATAGTTGGGTCGACACCTAGTGCAGCTGGAATGGACATTGCAGATTTAAAGTTCTCAACGCTTAGTGTTGTATTAAAAATGGCAATCTGTAAACAATTAAGATGATAACTATCAAGTTTCTTCCGTATTTACTCGATGTCATAAAGAAATAGCAGGAATGTTACTGGTCGGCGCTCAATCTCATATGACTTGATGATGGAGGTTGAAGCCACATTATCCAGTAGCAGGCTTATTTTCCAAGCTAAGTTATGTGCATCCTGAATGCCAGTGTTCATTCCTGCAAGAACATAGTGATATTGACTTTAAAAAGAATAAAAACAATTCAGCCATCATAATTGTGTTTGATATCTATACAAGCACAATGTTGTAGAAAGCATTAGGTGCTCTAAGGCAATATGCATGTCCCATGCCCAAGGTGGTCGGCGCCATCCTGGATGCATGAACAGCTAAAATAAAAAGCTAAAAATATATAATTATATCACTTATAGCTAATTTTACGTAAGATTAATACTTTTTAAGAATATGCACTGAGAATTATCACATTAAAGGTTTTGGGGGAAATTATGAATTTCCATTATATTCCAATATTGAAATTATTGGTCAAAAATTTATGTTAAATAACTATAGTAAACTAAATAAGTTTGTAACCTGAATGGCCTAAGAATAAATTAGGTCTTCTTCATCTTTATCATCATGCATGCTCTCTTTTCTATTAATGAGTTTATTGCCCCTCATCTCTTCGTCTTTCTTCTCACACACATCTTGTTCCTCAAAATTCTCCTATGTAATTGAAGCCCTTGCATATACATATAGTTTGTATAACTTGTTTCTGAGTACACATCTCTGGTTTTAGTACTCGTGATGCTAATTTTGCATCACCACACTCGTGATGCTAATTTCTAAGTACACATATCTCTTTCTAGTAGGGACATGGCACATACCCTCTGATCAAGTGATTTTGCTGTAAAATGACACCATTATGTTACGACCACGGCCTAAGCATGTATGTTCCCTAAGGGTGTCAAACCCTTGAGTAATGAATCATAGGGTATACTCAGTAGGCATAAAGCCCTCGGTCAGCTAAAGTGGATTCAGATATATTCCCTTAAGACAAACACCACCCTAGGTCTACAAGGTATTCTTAGACGAAGCAACTCATGGTTACCGATAAGGTGCCTCTTATCAGGTAGGGTCAATTACCTCCTCTGACTAAGTAGACTATGGACCATGACAGTCTGGGATAAAAGAACCATGAGATCTTGATCGGGCTCATCTTCATTCTCCCATCACCAATTTTAAGTATATGGTGATAAATTTTAAGTCATAAACTCTAAATTTCAAAATCAAAGTCAAATTCTAAAGTTGTTGCTATTATATGGGTACTCAGTGCTTATCTTATGACTAGCTTAATCGAAAATTCTCTCTCGCTATCGATAGGGATAATTAACTGTTGGAGCTTGCGCCTATAGGAAACCAGAACTCAGATTATAAAGTCCTCATAAAATGAGGGTGAAATCTTTGAGTAGTGCCTTATCTAAAACCCAATCTGACTTTTGAAAATTCACCGGGAACCTAAGCTCATTAAAACTCTCCGCCATCACATTAAAAAAAAGAACTGGCGCGGAGAGCCCGGGGCGCTAATTTTGAAGCCCACAAGTTTTTGGTGACTCCGCTGGAGATCAGTTTCTATTTCTATCTTTGGCTAGTTATACATAAACTGTAATAGCAACAAAGTTATTAAAATTAGGGTTTTGAAATAATGCAATTAGATAAAATTTATTAAATATATTATTTCATTTTGTTTAGTCTCAGCACTTTGAAAGTGTCGAGTAATATATTAACTCTCGATTACTAACACTTACCTATCATTTTTACATAATGAAACTACATAATACTCCTTTTACCATTCAGCCGGGACGTGGCGCTAGCTTTCAGCTAGTCAATGTCGTCATTAATACTAGAGACTTTGAAGCCAACATCCGATTTGGTAGCTTAGAGTTTTCTGCAACTACTGCCTATGAGTACATTGTAAGCCTCAATCTTTAGGTTCAATCGTCTAGGTGTTCAGAGTGCTGTCAACAATATTCACACGTTGCCAACATGTGAACTTTCAAAAGTTTTAGAAGAAAACTCAAGTGGACTACTTTGCCTACAAGGCAATGCTATTAAGTATTAATCTTTAGGTTAGATCATTCACAAGTTAAAATACTGAACTTGACAGAGCCTATATCCTCAGCATGCGTAACAAAAGAATGACAAAAACTATTGTCCTAAGCTAATCAAACAAGTTCACACTATTGTGGACTAAGAATTAAATATATGAACTCATCTCACTAAACTATTTTATCCAACATTCGCAAAAAGCTTTTAAGGCCATTTTAAATCAAATTATGTTCAAGGAAAACTTCATGAGTCACCTTACCTAAAGGAAGGGTCACGAGTAGTAGAGTACTAATTCTAAAGTCAGATCCTCCATATCCTAATAATGTCTTATTCAACAAAGATACATAGGAGAGTGTCTCCACCATTTACTTCACTCTATTGTTTCTACTCCAAGCCTATTTCTAACGGGCTTCTTATTTCAATTTTTTTTTTAGATACGTGAAAATTAAATTTCTTTAATTGGACGCCACAACAGAGATGAGGATGCTCAGGTCATTATGGAGGTCAACCTTAGAGTCTAAAGGTTTTCGCTTGAGTAGATCTAAAACGGAATATATGGAGTGTAATTTTAGTAGTAATAGACCTAGTGAGGGGATTGTGACTTTGGGCGATCAAGTCATTAATAAGAGTACACGTGGACGCCACAACACAAGTTTAAGATTGCTGGTGGCCAAATATCTCAAGAGAATAGTGAAACTGCAAAGATAAGCCCTATGTCTATGCTTCCGTGTATACTTTTTTATGTTTTAACATCCAAAAATCTTTCTTTATCCTCCAATAAGCAGATAGTGGATTAAAACTAAGAGACATTTATTCCATGTAACACATCCTCTTCACTGAATTCTATAGCACATTTTTCAATTAATTATTTTTCTTTCCTATCCGAATTAATATTAGTTTCATGCACTTGGAACGCATACATACTTAACTGGTAATAAAAAAAGAGTCCATTACAGTATTACACTCCAAACGACTATACTAACAAAGCAGGTAGTAGTAAATGAAAAGTAACAAGACAGCGAAATGTCAATGGAATAAAAAAGGCTACCAAGCTGTTTAAGATCAAGAATGACCAATGCCCATATTATTTGATACACCTACTTGGTTTTGAACCCAGGTAGGGTAATGCTATTAATAAGGCAATTCGCCATATACGGGTCAAGCTAAGTAAAATTTACTAAGGAAAATGATTAGTAATACCTAGCTAAAACCAAGTAGGTGTATCAAAAAGAAATAATAATAATAAAACAACTGTATAACTAACCAAAACCACCAGCTGGTGGGAAACGATGAGCAGCATCGCCAACAAGTATTACTCTGTCATTGCATGAAACATATTTCTCAGCAACTTCAGCATGCATCGCCCATGGTTTTATGTCTTTAACCTCAACATCGTCAAGCTTCCATCCAACCAGTTTAAAAATGATTTCTTCACAGACCTACAGAAGCACATCAATGAAATACTCTCAAAACTCAGGAAAGACTGAACAAAATTTTCCCATTAACTAAGCATGCCTCATGAAAAAAACCAAAGTCAGAGAGACCCCAAAAAAAAAAAAAAGATAATTAAGCTTGTATGCGATGCAAATTTTTCTCAATTGCTTAACTCCAAAAATTAAGACATTGATTATTTTAGGTGAATTACACAGATCCAGAGATATATGTGGTTCGTCCACTTTTTAAAAACAGTCCATTTTGATCCCCCACTTATCAAAAGGCAGGTCATTCAATCAACAAAGTTATTAATTGAAAGAAAAATGTTAGAAACATCCTTCCCATATGTCCTATCTCCTTTCTCTCCCAAGCTGTTATTAAGAGCACCCAAAATCACCGGTGTGGTCACTATGGAAGCATGAATCTATGAAAGCTTGCTCAAACTGATGAGCTAGTCACAATGAGCTTGTTCCATTGAGCCAATAAGGAAGGTGAAGAGCCAGTTATCCAAATACGAGGATATATGCATCCTGCTGCCATCTACTTTGTTTATTTCTATCGTGGTCTAATGTACATCATTACCATCCGTACAAGCTATGTTGCACCGATACACCTATTTATGAAGGCGTGCTGTATCCGATACACCGATACACGGATACGCCTCTGATACTCCACCGATACATGTCAGATACATCAAAACCGTATCCAATTAAAATACTATTTAATTTCAAAAGGACACGCGTATCCGATACGTGTGTCCGTTGAAAAATAATAAGAAATTCAAAAAAAAGACGTGGCGTATTTACTTCCGCGGTTGCGAGCAAGATTCTCTCATTTCCGAGATGGATTTGAGTCTCTTGATGATATGAAAATATTAAAAATTATTAATCTTTCACTTGATGAGCCTGAATTAGAAGCTATGATATTTATTGAAGATGATATGGAAGTTCAAAGACAAACCAATGAAGAAGATAATTATATCATTCCTTCTATTGAATAGTTGAAACTTCATGTGCTAGATAATTTATGTTTATGCCTTTGTTGTTGTACTAGACATTTAATACTTATATTTTGATATTATAAGCTACAATGCTACAAATGATGTTGATGCCATTTTTTTTGTAATTTCAACTATTATGTTTTGATTGCTTTCTTAATTTTTATGTATGATTTATAAATTATAATGCCGTGTCCGCGCCATACCCATATCCTGTATTTTTAAGAATTGACGTGTTCCGTATCCGTATCGTATCGTATCTGTGTCGCCGTATCCGTATCGGTGCAACATAGATTATATGGTTATGAGGATACATCAAAACCTATATAAATAATATATTCATTTACAAAAGGCATGTAGCCCAATATGTAGCTAGAAAAATATAAATATAGACAAACAATTAACATGTGGATTGTCAATAGGCAAGTGTTCACATGGCAAGTACTCATATAACGAGTACTCACACAGTGAACACTCACATTGAGAGTACTTCTCGCCGTGTAACAAGTGATTCTTATGTCCCTGGCAAGTTCTTCATCGCAAGCTACTCCATTTCTATAATCCACCGGTGGGTCCCCTTGTCCATGTCACTGAAGATAGCCAACACCAACAGCAAAATATTTCCACAATTAAAAAGATGGATATATTGGTCAAAAAAAAAATAAAGCTTTCAAATTTTAGTCACGAAATGTGCTATGTAAGCTAAAAAGCCATTAACAAGAAGGCTATAAAGATCAGAATACAATTTCAGATACATAATTAAAATCTCAAAAGGCATTAGAGACTAGAGTAGAGAATTTTAAAAAATGTGGTTCAACGCAAAGCTCTTATGGAATGTCGTGCTCTGTTGCTAATGTATTAGCCACATCAAATACTCTTAGCATTTCATGTATAGCTCTTCTGCTTTCCACTTTCTTTCAATTTGTTCTACTACATGATTCTGTCTCTTTATCTTACCGGCACTTTATGCATTCATGGCATTGGTTTAATCTACTGATCAAAATAAAGTATTTTCTGAGTTTTCAGAGCAAAGTTTCTTTCGCAGTGATCTGTAAATGAGGTTGTTTTCAACTTTCAGGCCTGTTGTAGGTTATCACCTAATAGCAAGTGATGGGCATTATCAAACCAGCATCAAATCAAATGCAAGTGGCTATCATGGCTATCACCATTCTATGCTGCATTTATGAACATTGTTAACATTCTGAATATTCCCCTGGTGGACTACAGAAACAAAGAATTTGTTCACGAGATCCTTAGGTGTCTGCCCAAAAAATGGAGTCCAAAGGTAAACGTCCTATGAAGTACAAACACCTGCATAAGACATGGGTACGACACAAAATGAACATAATAACATAACATTAATGTAAGAAAAAGGATTGATCGCTCTGGAAAAATCATTAAATAAGATGGTAACCCCGCTCTCACGAACTTAGGATTCCCTTTAATTTTCCCGGAGGTAGATTGAGTTTTATGTTTAACCAGATATCCCCCCTAGAGTAGTGTCAGGGTTTATTTAGATCTGAGTTCTACTTCCTGTGGGCGCAAACCCTCATTTAGAAGTGAAGGATATGAATCAAAGAAAAGAAAATGAGTTATCAGTAGTTTTTTAGAGAAGTCTTTTAATATGCAGCAATGAGAGGAATTAGATAATGAAATTGTAAGGATGTTTTTTTTCAGCGAGACTTCCTTTCAACCTTACAAGAAATCATTTTTATAAAAATGCATTCATTTTTGCATATAATAATAACCTTGCAGGTTAGGTTCCACCTAGCTACAATGCAATAAGATCAAAATTATTGGAAAGGGAAAGAGCATATATTGAGACATTGTTTGAACCAACGAAAGGAGTGTGGAAAGAAAAAGGTGTTCGTTTGATGTGTGATGGTTGGATTGATCCTCAAAGAAGACCACTCTTAATTTCATGGTCGTTACAGAGAATTACCCAATGTTTATTAAAGCTGTGAATTGTAAAGGAGAATATAAAGATAAATATTTCATTTCCAATTTGATAAAAGAGGTGATAATCATGATTGGGCCTTCAAATGTTGTGCAAATTATTACAAATAATGCACCGGTGTATAGAGCTGTAGGATTGTTGGTGGAACAAACTTATCCTCATATATTCTGGACTTCATGTGTTGTGCACACTTTAAATCTTACTCTAAAAAATATTTGTGCAGCAAAAAATACAGAGGCTAATAAAATCATCTATGTTGAATGTCATTAGATAATAGTGGTTGCAGATGATGGTATTCTGATCAGAATTTCATTATGAACCACACTTTAAGACATTTAATATTTAATGATTTCTCACATTTGAGAATGTTAGCTGTTGCTGAAACTCGTTTTGCTTCTGTTATAATAATGTTGAGAAGATTCAAAGAAATAAAAAATGTTCTTCAGTCTATGATGATTAGTGAGAAGTGATCTTGCTATCGAGAAGATGACATTGGGAAGGCAAGGTATATGAAAGAAAAGGTATTGGATGATTTGTGGTGGGATGATCTACATTACATTTTGACTTTCACTTATCCAATTTATGATATGTTGAGGGAAGCTAACACAGATAAATCATGCCTATACTTGATTTATGAGATGTGGGACTCTATGTTAGCAAAAATGAAAGAAATATATATATAAACATGAAAGAAAGTCACATGATTAATACTCAAATTTTTGGAGCGTTGTCTATGCCATTCTTGAGGATAGGTGGAGCAAAAGCAACACACCTTTGCATTATTTTGCTCATTCATTAAATCAAGATACATTTGTATTCATCTTTTAAATTAATTTTAAATTTTTTGGTAAATGAATAAATAATTTTATAAGCTTTGTATTATTTGAAGGTATTCAAGTAAAGAATGGCTTCAAGAAGACCCTTAATGTGTCTCACCACAAAAAGATTTAGAAATTTAAATATTAGAAAGATATGCTTGAAACGATATTTCCCAAATGAAGAAGAGAGAAGAAAGATTAATATAAAACTTGCAAAATTCTTTGGATATTTAGAGAACTTTGGTGATTAAAAATCTTTGGTTGATAGATGGAAAATGGATACAAAAATGTGGTGGTTGATTCATGGAGCTTCAGCACCGCACCGCTTCTTCAAACAATAGCAATAAAACTTCTTGGTCAAGTATCATCCTCTTCTTGTTGTAAGAGAAATTGAAGCACGTACTTATTTATTCAATCGATGAAGAGGAATAAAATAACTCCACAACGAGCTGAAGATTTAGCTTTTGTGCATACAAATCTTCGTCTTCTATCAAGGAAGACCCCACTTTATATGACAGGTAATAAAAAGATGTGGGATGTTGCTGGAGATGGGTTCGAGTGTCTTGATGATATGGGATTATTGGAGGTTGTAAATCTTTCTCTAGATGAACCAGAGTTAGAAGCAATGATATTCAATGATGATGATGATATTAAAGGCTAAAGAACAACCTCTGAATCTAATTCTATCATTCCCTCTATTGAGTAGTTGAACCTTCATATTGTACTAAATGATTTTTAGCTTATATTTTTTGTGGTTGTACTAGACATTTGTATTAAACATTTTTATGTTATAAGCTAAATAAGTTATCATGACATTGATTTATTATCGCTTTCCATTTCTAATATGATGTCACCTTAATTTCTATATATTATATTTAAAAAATTATTATATTAAACTCTTATTATTTTGTGCATTCAGGAAACTAAATGGGTTGGAGATAAGGCAAAGGAAATTGATAGTTTAGGATTTAAACTTTGGTATTCGGGAAGGAGTCGTACTAGAAATGGTGTAGGTGTTATTATAGATAAGAGTTTAAAGGATAATGTTATAAAAATTAATAGGATTGGAGATAGAATTATAGCTTTAAAGATTGTTGTTGATGATAAGATTGTTAATATTATAAGTACATATGCTCCTCAAGTAGAGGTTTGGATATGAGTTCTAAATTAAATTTTTGGAATGACTTAGCTAAAACGTTAAACAAAGAGTCCTAAGGACTCAATCTCATATCCATCGACCTATTTGTTGAGCCAAAATTAATAAATATCCCCAACCTTAGGCACAAGAGCCTAATTATGACCTCCTAGATTTACTTGAGCAAATGAATATTTATCCTTGAGTACATAAAAGTTCAACGATCTATCTTTGATTTGCAGGCCCAAAACTATAAATGATTTACTTAACTCTCAATTGTATTTGCTTAGCTCAATTAAATAAATACATTGATTTATATGGATTCAAAAGTAATAGAAAATCCTATTTCTTTCTTAGCCTAAATATATAGGAGAAATCCCATTAGTCTTAACCTCAAAGTTTTAGGTTAGATTATTTTTTTTTTCTTAGCCTAAAAGCTATAGGAAATCATATCCTCTTCTTTGGCGTCAAAGCCAGAGAATACCTAATTGACTTACGTAAGTATGTGACAATACTTTCTAGCCAAAACTTTTTAAGTATGTCTTTACCTTTCTCAATATAGACAGTATCTAATACATCTACTCTCCTAGCGAGGTCATCAGAAGGCCGATATTTTATGTGACCAAACCATCCAGGGCGACACTCTCTAATCTTACCTACCACTGAAGCTACTCCAACCTTTCCAATGTATATACTCCCTTCGGATTCTATCTTTAAGTGTAAACCTCCTCATCCACTTGCACATCCTGATCTCCATAACACTTAATTTAATGCTTCTTTTTTAATAGCCAACATTATATGCCATAAACCATTACAGGTCTCACCAGCATATTATAAAATTTACCCTTAAGTTTGAGGGGTGTTTTTCTATCACACAATAAGCCTGATGCATTCCTCAACTTCAACCATCCAACTTAAATTTTACTAATAATATCCCCATCTATTTCACCATTGCTTTGAATAATAAATTCTAAATATCCAAAGCGTGCACTCTTTTTAATGACTTGATCACCCAATGTTATAACCCCACTGCAAGATCTATTACTAATAAAATAACACTCTATGTATTTGATTTTAGATCTACTCAAATGAAAACTTTTAGATTCTAAAGTTGAACTCCATAATTCAAGTTTTCCTTCAACTCCCTCTCTAGTCATATCAACAAGAAGAATATCATCAGCATAAAACATACACCAAGGTACATCCTCTTGCAAATGTCTAGTAAGAACATTCCAGACTAAAGCAAAAAGATATGAGCTTAAATCTAATCCTTGATGTAATCCAATTGAAAAAATAAAATAATTGATCAAACCACCTTGTGTTTAAACACAACAAATTATATATATATACGCTTAATGACTTCAATATAAGCATTATTAACTCCTTTCTTTTCTAGAACTCTCCTAAGCGCTTCTCTTGGAATTTTACCTACAACAACTATAAGGAAAAAATTAATTATAAAATGATACAGCTAGGATGTCAATAGTTTATTGAATATAGCCTATTAAGCTATTATGCAATAATAAGACAAAAGAAGACAAATAAATGAAAGATAAAAACAAACCTTGAAACTGAAATCCTCAAAGTTCTGTTGAGGAGGATAATATGGAATCTGGCAAAAAACATTGATATAAATCAGCCACTCATAAAATCAACAGTCATATCACATTCATTATACTAAATTAAATCGCAGTAAACTAAACTGAACTGAATTGCATCTGCTACCTTCATCAGCTAGACTACCTGCAGCACAAACTCCCCTTCATCAAGATCGTGTGCAACTAGAACACCAATAGCCTCAGGATTGAAAATGAAAAAGAGCATTCCAGGTGTCTTATGCAACAGGTATTGTCCAAGATCTTTGCTCAAGAAATGGACGCTTACAAGCTTTTGCAAGTCCCGTTCACCTTGCATTGTTATACCAACTAGTTTCCTAACGGTACTCCTTGCACCATCTGACCCAATGGCAAAACTGCAACGGAAATTCATCTCTTCTACTTTTCCGTCCTTGAGCAAAGAAATACCTACTTTGACACCTTCCAATGTAGGTTTGATGGACGTACATTCAGCACCCATGAGAATCCTTTTCTCCTGAAGCATACAATGATTTAACTTTTGAAGTTCATCAAGCGAACATAACTTGAAGCCCAACCTTTCTAACTTCTTCAGTAGCAGTCTAATCAATTTGTACTGCGAGTAGTGGGCAACAGAAACAGGGCTTTCTTTCTTATCAAAGTCTGAGGAGAATGTTAAGAAATTAAGAAACAAGACCTAAGAATATTATGAAATCCAGATGAATTATGTGTAAATGAAATCCAGATGAATTATGTGTAAAATGAACCGAAATATTAGAATTGCAGCTGCTAAAAATTCTTGAGTTGCAAACTTACCTTGAGTTTGCATGTGGTCTACTGACCCAAGAATGGTACCAGAAACAGAAGTGCAATAGAAGAACTTCCTCCATAAATCTACTGGTGGCTGCAACTTCTGGATGTCCTCTGCAAGCCCATCCATTTTGCGAAAAAGCTGTCCAAAAGGCTTTATCAGAACACACAAAGAGCAAAATACAAAGAAATTTTGATGAGGACATCAGTAAGAGATTTCCACAAGTGTATCATCGTCAGAGTCGTAGATCGACGCTACGATACAAAGTCTTTACTTTTGATATATTTTGTATTTTTTTATTTTGCATTTTCTATTTTTCCTAGTTTACCCCTATGGGTAGTGAGTCGCTATTGTAGCCCCGAGGGCACTTGTGTCTTTCTGTTTTTCTTTTATTGAGGCCTATATATTAAGGTCTCTTAGCTTTGTAATGGTTAATGATACTTATGAATGAAATTTCCACTTTCTTGCATGTTCTCTTGATGAGTTCTTGAGAGGAGCAATCCTAAGTGGGTGAGAGCAATGCCCATCAATCTTGGTGGATTCTAAGGTTCGCGGTTCATCGTTTCTTCCTTTCCACCACATCCACCATCCTCCTATTGCTCAACCCGCCGGCCTCATCAACCCCATCCCCTTCTCCTCCTAAGCCAAGCCTTCCACTGTAATGACCGGTTTAGCTAGGCCGGTTCAACAGAACTAGCCAGCTTCTCTTAAAAACCCGATTCAGGGGAACGAACGGGCGGACAAGCCGCGAAAGAGGCGAGCCGTTCGTAGGAATAAATTAACGACTCCTCTCATGAGATATAGTTAGTTCGCTCTTTTTGGTAAGAGAAATCGTGAGAAGGAAAGTTTCTGTTGAAGGAGCGGATGGTCGGCTACGTGCGGGAGAGCGAGGTAAGTTCATTTTTTTTCCAATTTTATCAATCGATCGCGTTAAAGGATGAGAATAATCAACTCCTTTTCATTCCCACAGTTAAAGGATAGACAAATTTGGGAGAAATTTCAACGAACGAGAGGAACGACGAGGAAAAGAGAGAAAAGTTTGTTTTGCAAGTTTTTGTATAAATCGATTCCTAATTATTTCTCTAATCATTAGAAACATTAAATTGAAGATAAGAGAAGGAATCGAAGCAAGGGTGTTGGCTCAAGAAAAATAGCACGAATGTGCGAATCCCGCTTTGCAGCCGTAGGATTCCATTTCCCTTAAGTCAGATTGAAATTAACCAGATTTCCCCTGAGGGTTGTGTCAGGGTTTATAGATCTGAGGTTCTTACTTCCTATGAGCGCAAGCACTCATAGTTAATTACCCCTCTTACAACGTAAGAGAGAACTCTCGATTAAGGATGAAATAAATTTTAAGTAATTTTTAGTCTCAATAGTAGGGGAAATGGAGGTAAACCCGATCAAGATCCCATGGTTCCGTCGTCCCGGGTATACCATAGATTTCAGTCTACCAACACTAACAATCATTAACTGCAGTGTCCAGGGAATCTGATTAGCAGCCATGGGTTGCCTCCTCTCAGAGATCCCGAGTAGACTGAAGTGGAGATGTGTGAATTTTAGTTTAGTTTAATTTGGGTTGGGGCTTATTGCTCTATTTATGAGTTGCCCAAAATTTTGATTTAGAATGGTGCTTACTGCTCCAATTAGGAGTTGCCCATATGGTTTGATTTAGGTAGGGGCTTATGACTTCCTTAGAAGTTGCCCAGGGATTTAGGTTTGGTTTGGGACTTATTACTATATTTATTAGTTGCCCAATGATGGGTCTTACAACCTAACTCTATAGTGAGGCTGCCCGGAGGTTTTAATTATTTGAGTAGGACTTATAGCTTCCTTTAGGAAGAAGCCTTAAAAGCGGGTCTTATAACTTAATCATTTTAGACTAAGATGCCCAAAAGCTTGAATTTCGCTTGAATTGGATTTGGATTAGGTCTTAGTGCTTCCTTAGAAGTTGCCTAATTATGGGTCTTACAACCTAGCACTTTAAGCTAAGTGGCCCGAGTTGTGGGTCTTACAACCTAGTCCTTTAAACTAGGATGCCCATTTGAGGGGTCTAGGGCTATATTATCTCCTAAACGTTTCCCTCAGAGGTCGGACTTACGGCTTCTATTAGAAGTGGCCGAGGGTTTTAATTAGGGATTAGGAGTTAGGTAAATTTTTACCTAAAACTTCTCCCTAAGGTCGGGCTTACGACTTTCCTACGAAAGTTGCCGGGTAGCGGGTCTTACAACCAAGTCCTTATAAACAAGGCTGCCCACATATATTTGCCATTTTGTAATTGACTAAAAGGATTATATTTTATTGCATATAAATTTATTTGATTGTATAAATCAAAATTATAATTAGAGTGGTACAACTATAACAGACAAAAACCTGATTTTATTCCCTTAAAATTTTGAGAACAATGTCTTGTCTTGTCTTGCATTAAATGCTAATCCTGGATATTCACATGCAATAAGCAAATGGCTGGCTTTTTGAGATTTAATTCCTTAAGCAAGTGGTTTGCTGGCTTGATTTGAAGGGCACAAGCAAACGGTTATTCACAAATTATGTGAGATTTTGTTTGGACGAAGGGTTATTTACGGGTTAAAATTAGATGCAGAGAGAGGGACAGTTATTTAGAAGCGAAGCGAGGGCTTGAAAGCAGGTTAACGAAGAGTTTGTGCGGCCTTGTATGATTAAGCGAAAAGTAAGGACCAAGACGAAGATACAAATTACCTTCAAGCAAGAAGTAGAGTACGTCAGGGAAGTGGGTTGGAGCGACGGTGAAGGCGGATTAATTACTGGAGTAAACGAAGACAGAACAGCACTTCGGAACAGAGGGAGAAAATCAAGTGTTAGTTTTTTTTTTCTTTGTTTCTTCCCCCTTTTATTGACTGATTGCCATAAGCCAGTTATTATCTCCAAGGATTGCATCGTTTGAGCAAATCGGAGGAACTGAATTAATGTTACGAAGAGATACGTCTCTTCAATTCCTTTCTCCATTTTTATTTCAAATTTTTTTTATTATTATCAATCAATAATTCTCATATACACTCTTTGAAATTAAACGCAACGAATCTTGTGTAAATGTGAGCATATGGTCTTATAAAAATCATTGATTATTTCAAGTATATTTGTATCAATTATATGGCTTTATGTTGCATCCTACATAGCATTACAGGTCATGCGAAATCATAATATTGAATTGTTATTTCATCTTAATATTAATGAAAATTTAGAATTCTAGCCTTTGTGTTTTAGCCATTTTTTTTAATTACGACAAAATAAAAATTGAAAATAAATATTTTGTCAATGTATTTGAAATATCAGTCAACAAAGGGGAAGGAATTTTGTGAGAGAAGGATTTAGGGATTTTGAGAAAATTCCTATTTTTCCTTTTGTAAGCGACTCTCCTAGTAAATAAATTTAATTCAACTTTGTTATGAAATCACGTTTTTTTAGAAGTTATATTTTGTGGATGTTGTAGGAACTTGAAGTTGAGGTTGCTCCAAGGATCGAGAATTTTGAAGGATTAAAGTGGATAAATTATGTTGTTTTATAATTTTATTCATAATTGGAATATTTTAAATTAATTGATTAATTATGTATTTCATAATGTTGAAGATATTATGATTTTGTAGTCTTATATAAATTCATCCATTATAAATGTTGAAAGTTTATAGAAATGAAAGGTAATACTTATAAATACACATAAGATATGTTATATACAATTATAACAATGAGGATGAAAAAGAAATCAAAAAAGGAAAATTTAAACGAAAAGAGAAGTAAAAAGTCATATATGTATGGAAATAAAACAAATGTAGCATAAAAGGAAAAGGTATTGAAAACTACAGGAGTTCACCCCCTTATGGTACTGGCTGGGGACGCCGTACTCGTGCACGAAAAAGGAAAAGGAAAATGTTATGAAAATGGAAAAGGAAATAAATAAATGAAAAAGATTGTACCTTTGGGTAATTTGAGACAGTGCTCCTGTACAAATCAAATGGTAAAAGGAAATATAAATGAAATATTAAAGATTTAAATTATTTTAAAAGAAAAAAGTTCGAAGATGTATAAATTAATGAAATGAAAGAAATAAGGTTAAGAAATGATATAATCCATATATCATTATTTATATTGATTGTTTTAATTAGATACCCAATGAGTTTACTTAGTAAACTCAACCCACGAGTTTAAATATTTCAGGTAAGTTCCTAAGTTAAAGAAATGGCTGAAAGAGAAGAAATTGTCTACAGAAGGCGGCGTGCAAATGACAACAGGTAAATCTACATGTTGTATTTTAGTGGCTGTTCAGTACAAAAGAAGAAGTATAATGTTTAATGATTTTTATCGTCCGACTTTCATACCCACCTCGTTAGATCGAGCATTCGGGCCGGGTCGTGACATCCACCTCCCCTGATCCCCAAGCCGTCAGCCCCCTGCCCTCCCAACCGTCGGCCGCCCATAAGAAGACGCCGGTCCCCACCCCTCTGCACCTCTTCTCACTTTCACAACCCGCCGTCCCACCTCCCAAGCCACCAAATCTGAAATTCAAATTTCAAATACTCTATTATTCACTTTCCTAAAACAAGTCTTAGTCAATTAGGAAGGTTTCCTATTGGTAATTCAATTAAATAATTGAATTCAAATACTTTCCTATTGTTTAAATCTAAGTTAGGAAACCTCTCTAATTAAATCAAATCTGATTTAAAATTCAAATTTTGATTTTACTCTTTATTTAATCCTTGGGGCCCACAAACTTAAAACAATACACTCTCTTTCCTATCTCTACATGGCCGGCCCCATCAAAACCCTCCTCTCTCTCCAATTTAAAGCCTAATCCCACTAAATCAGCTCTATTTCCCACTTAAAACCGCCGGCCCCTTACTCCTTTGGGAATAATTTGAATATCAAATTATTCCCACCCTTTCCCCTAAGGAAATTCTAAAATCAATTTTAGATTTTCCTAAACCCTTCTCCTCCCTCCAACCTTAACCCTACCCGCCTCTCTTCCCCTATTCCTCTCCACCCGCCACCTCACCCCCCCCCCTACCTCCTTCCAACCGGCGGTTTACCCAAAGCACCTCCACCAAGAGTTTCAATGTTCATGTATGGCGGATCCGGAAGTAGATCACGGGCTTATTCTCAATTCTCAAGGGGAGATTGACGTCATCCAATCACCATTCTTTGACCCCGGATTTGGATCTGAGAGCACAGTCAAGGAATACGTTGATGGTATCCTCCCCCACTTAGCAGACGTCATCGACGAACAAAGACCTATTGGAGAGTGGAAGCTCATCGGACGGCCACCCGTTCCTCCAACTCTGATTCCTTCCCCGGCGACGAGCACCCTCGGCATCGCATGTATTGTAGTGGCGTCTCTAAGTTTGCTTGAAACTTTCTTCCGCTAAGCCAATCACTTTCAAGAGTGTGAGTGAGGGATCCCAAGGTGAACGGTCTAGTTATTAAACTGTGGATTTTGTTAACTTGCCATTTGCTTTACTCTTTTATTTGTTGTTGTTATTTTGCAAGTATCCTAGTAATCTCAATTGTAATCGCTTGCCAGTACTTAGTATTTTCATGGAATTTTCTAAGATCTAACTTGAAGAAGCATCCGTTTATATTTAGCCCAGCAAAGTTCGCATTTCACTAATTTCTTAAAAGCAATTCTTGTTCATCATCATTGTATAACATCATATTTGGTATCCAATATGGGACCTTTTATAAACTATGAGTTTCTGTTAATTAGTAAGAATTGTATCAACTTGATCAATAAGCAGCTCAGTAACGATATTTTTTTTTTTCCAATGAAACATGAATTTCTTTTCTAGATGTACATGCACCATGATAAAGAGAACCAGGAAATGAAATTCAAAAGCAATCTTTTAGGTCATCCTTCACAGGAGCTAATGATGATATCAAAAACCTCCATAGATCGGTTATTAATGAAATGTGCTTGTGGATGTTGGGAGAAAGCAGGATTTTTCTCCAAGACTGCACACTTGACACCTATAATAGAGATATGAAAGAAGATCAGCACTAATTAACAATAAACAAATATGATAAAAACTTTTTAAAAAAGTCGTTTCCAGAAACAAATGGATTTACTGTATTACGCTAAGATGAGCAACAGGTACGTGTAAATATGCGGAAATGGAAAGCATATACCATCATGATAATCAGTTCCTTCAATATGTAAATGTATGATTGTCAAACAATGCGTTTAGCATATGACTGCATAGGTCTTCATGGAGAAGAAATCAAAGAAGCTCGATTAAAAAAAAACAAAACAAAGATGAAGCAAAAGATATAGAGGGAGAGAGGGGGGTGTTAAATTTTAAAATAGTCCCTCAACTATTTGTATATAGACAATTTAATCCTAGAGCATCACGTTACACTAATTTAGACTAAAAAAATTTGATTTAAAATTGTGATCAATTTTGTATGGATAATAGATTAATTTAAGATCAATTTTATATCACAATTATAACATAAGAGTTTATTCGGGCATTATTATTATTATTATTATTATTATTATTATTATATAGGGTTAAACTTTAGAATAGTCCCTCAACTATTCATATATATTTGTATATAGCCAATTTAGTCCTAGAGTATCAAATAACACCAATTTAGTCACATGACTATACAAAATTGATCAAAAATTATAATCAATTTTGTATGGTCAAGATATTAATTTAAAATCAATTTTATATTACAACTACAACAAAAAGGACTATTTTGGCATTTTACAATATATATGATTATAATTATAATGAGGCTCGTATTGAGGCGCACACCAGTGCAATTTGGACCCAACTGCCTTAAACCACATGCCTTCTCCTCCTAGCCAAGTTTTCCTCTTCCACAAGGATCTACACTTCCCCAACCAAACTTTTTCTTTAGCTAGTGACAATATATAAGCCCTATTTTTTTTTTCTTTCCTTAAAAAAAGTTCTTTGAATTGTATGATTATAATTTTTATTTCTTTGAACGTTTGCAAATTTTCATATTTGTTTAAATCAAAATTTTTATTATAGCTTTTTGTCATATATAGTTATAACCATGAAGAAATCTATAATGAACATCAAAAGGAACCAACGTGGAGGTATAGTGTGCAAGTCGACGTTGGAGAAAATGAAAAAACATGTGTATTTGAGATGCAGTTGTTAAGAGATACCAAAGTGCCCAAAGCAATGAAAGAAAAGATTCGTTCATAGAAAAACAAATATATGTCTAAGCATATGGTGCAGCAATAGTTTGATGATAGAGTTGTCATAGACACTTATTATAAGAGTGAGTGCAGTGATAAGGACTCCTCATCCTTGAATGTCAACTAGAGGGGAAAGAGGTCCCATGAATCATTACATGTCAAGCATGGAAGATGACAAGGATCATGGAGAGAGGGCGTCTGCATCTCAATAAATATTTCTAGAGAAGGCTAGAAAGACACACTGACAAGTTTGCATAAATATTGAGAGATTTTTCTATAATAATGTTATTTCATTCAATGTAGCAACCTCTTTTGCTTATTTCAATATGATTTGTTCAATAGGTATTTATGATTGAGGCTTGAAACCCCCATTCATGATTTGATAACTTAGGTTTTGAATGAGTTGAGCAATACAAAAAAAGTCATTAAGGAAATTATAAAGACTTAGAGTTAGACTAGAGCGACAATCATATCTAATAACTGATCTAACATTAAGAATGGAAGCTATTGCAAATCTGGGCTCAAGTACTGTAATTTTGATGATAATCAACATTGTTGTTTCTTTACTACTGCTATTATTGCATATCTATTTTGTTTTCCCTGCTCATTAACCTTTCAGGTCCACAAGTTCACTTACAATGCAAATCAGCTCAAAATCAGTTATATTTTTCAATTTCAATATATTTTTTATCTTTCTTGAGTCAAGTCATGTATCTGGTGGACCCCAAGCTAAGTAACCTTACATACACACACTCAAGGGGTGAATTAGTGAATTAGGAGAAAAATTGAGTTTTGAACTAATCGTACAATACGATTTAAATCATACTGGATGATCAGTTATACAGAAAACCCTAATTAGGACACCTATTGTTAAGTAAGATTGGTTAACTAATCGTACTGGACGATTCAGATCGTACAGTACGATAAGTTATATACATGAAAAACAACCGCCAATCATAATTTAGGCAATATTTTAAACTTCAAATTTTGTTCTAATCGTACATGACGATTTATGACAAACATGCCAAAATTGATCAAATAATTAGGGGACTAATTATGGTTAGATTGCTCGATCAGATCGTATTAGACGATCTAAAACAATCGTATTGGACGATCTTTGATATTTCATGGGACGATTCCCCATCGTCCAAGACAAAAACTATAATTTTCTTCTAATCGTGCAGGTGATCGTACTGGATGTCCTGAGGGATGTGCAGGATGATATGTAAATCGCCGCCCATTGTCCCATAACGTACTGGACGATCAATACAATATCTTGAACTAATCATCCAGGATGATCGCAGAATCGTACTGGACGATCTGTACAAATACTTGAAATGATCGTACAGGGCAATGCTGATCGTACTGGCTAAAAGGAATGTTTTGTACTAATCATATAGGACAATCTAAGGATCGTAATGGATGATCTTTGACGGGAAATAAAAAATTAGGGCTTCTTTTGCTGTTGAGTTGACCTGAGAGAGTTTTCTTCCTCAATCGTGTGAAGGGTTGACATATACCTAAAAGATCAGATATAAATATTCATATATATGACAATCTTCCTTGTAATGAACGAAGTTGTCTTAGGGTTTTTGGAGATGGCATTTCCACTATATCTTTAATTTTAGCGGGATCGATTTTGATTCCCTTATGGCGTACAACCAATTCAATAAATTTAATTCTATCCAGCATGGCAGAGTTGGGGTCTACATACAGGTCCTTCTAAAATTTACATGGATTCAAGTTGTTATTGATTTGCTTCTGAACTAACATAGAAGCGTGTTAGCCCTTTAATTGAATTTCCAAAATATAATATAAACAAAGGATGAAAAAAAAATGATAACCACTATTCATAGTCTATTTAAATCATGTGCAGATTATCTCGTGAAGCCAAATCATTTCTGTTTATCTATGTTGTTCTAGGCGTCGAAATTTTGTGACGTTAGGGCATCTCCAACCGAAAATCTCATTTTTCACTCCAAAATGCAGTGAAACCAAAAAATGTCGTGATTCATCTCCAATGGAAGGCCATTTTGCCCTGTAACCATCATTCTCTTCATTCGCGCCTTTTTCCCAAAAGTTCAGTAGATGAACAGTGCAACGCTCATCCGCGATCAAATAGCTTAAAAATGGCGTTCGGTTGGAGCAAAGCAAGAACGGCAATGGAGATGCCCTTAGGCTTAAGAGTTCCATCAAACACAGTAGGTGCACTGAGAACTTTAATAAGAACCACCCTTTTAAAAGAAATTTTAAGGGAGAGAATGAAGCGGAAAGAAGCGTAAAAAAATAAAAAATAAAAACGCAGTATGGGTAAAAAGTTAAACCTAATTTCGTAAGGAGAAATGAGAGAACAAGTCCAACTGGGCCGGCCCCTACGATCAGGACAGGAATGTAGGGCTCTGCACCTTCGCCGATGGGATCGCAGGCACCCGTCGAAGACTTCGAAGAGAAGAAAGGGGTTCCTCTTCCTGGCAAACAGAGGAAGCGGCGGCCATTAGCCCACCACCCGAGATATCTCGCCGCAAAGCCGTCCATTGAAATGCGAGAGCTGCGAGTTCGGTAGGAGTTGATGGGAGTTTGCTGACTACGGTAAGAATAAAAAGCCTGTAGTCCTGCGCTGGATGAGCGCTTGGTGGCACACAAAATGGGCAGGATCTGGTTCAAGCTAGAAATATAAATAAATGGTCAAATTATAAAAAGGAACAAGTTTAATATCTAAATAAGCATGAGGATCCTAGAGCATAAAAAATTTAAATATGAATGAAACTGGAGCTTAGCAATCCGGTTTCTTAGAAACCGGAATACAAAATAATTATTTGGACAAATTTGGTTGACTTTGTCAACCAAGTTGACTACCAAAGTTCTAGGTTTATTAAGTTTAAATTTATGTTTTAAACACAATGGAAGTGGTCTCAAGTAATGAGAAGGCCATTTGGGTTAAAATGCATGTTTGAATGGTTAAAAGGCACTTTAGTCAATCATGTCTGACTTGGTCAACCAGGTCAAACTAAGGGCTAGGTTTGGGTCTAATGCATTCTTAAAAATTCTTATAATGCATTATAGAAGTTTTTAAGGCTTGATGTGATTGAGCTATGTTGAGCTCTGGGGAAAAGTCCAAATTTATCTTTAAATAATATTTTAGTCATTTTGACCCCTTGTCAACTATGGGTCAAATTGGGTCCACCAAAATATAATTTAATGCTCAACATGTCATAACAAAGGTTATGGACATGGTCAAGGGTCTTGGTGAAGGTCCCATGGTCAAATTTCACAAAGTGGGAGGTCTAGTGATATAGGCTATAAATATTTGAAGGTTTTGCAGCCTTTGAGTTTCAATTCAGTTTTTGGGGTTAGAAGTATCAGATTGGGTTCAAATTTGGAGGGTTAACCTCAGGGACATGGCTAACCAATATGAATATGATAGATCATGAATCAAAGATCATTTGATTAAGTATTGAACTGATTGAAAAATCACTCAAAAAGGGTTTTATGATATGGGCCTTTAACCTTGGACTTTGGTTTGGAATTCTAGATTTGAACTGGGTTTGGATTTGATTGAATAAATTTGAATAATTCACATCAATCATAATCAAATGGATGATTGTTGATGATTGAATATGATTAAAGTTTGATTCAAGGTTGATTGATGGTTGAATAGATCTTGATGACCTCATATAGAAATGAGGTCAACAAGGATTTAGGAAATTTGTCGCTTATTTCACTATAGGTGTTACATATTGGTGAAATTTGAGCATATTTGTTTGAAAATATTTGATTTTAATATTCAGTTTAGAAGATTATTTCATAAATACATCAAGGAACATAAATCATGTAATTACAATGTATTTGTTAAAATAATAGAAGAATTTAGATTTTGATATTTTAAGTACGGAAAGTTATCATGATAATTACCTCAAGCTAGGTGGGTATGTAATTACAACAATAACTAGTGACTTTAACTTTGATTTTGACTTTTGGACTCAATAATAATATTATGTCAAGCTATAAATGGCATGTAAGTGCAATACATTAATTAAGATTGGGACTAAGATTGATTTTGAATTTTAGAAGCATGAGATTTAACTTAGATGATTGTGGATAGGTTTAGATTTAATAAACTTTGAATAATTTGTTTGAAGTGGGAATTTAGGATTTTTGGAGAATTTTTAACTTTGTTTTCGAGTTCTTAAGATTTCATATACTAAAGTATCAAATTAAAATCCAAAATGAGGTTTTTGAAACCTAAGAAGCCCACCAACACATTAAAGAATGGGTTTTAATGTGATCCTACAACACCATTTACTATTTGGAATTTCTAAGATGTTATTTCTTTATTATAAAATTTAGATTTTTGCCACATTTACCCCAAAAAATAGGCAAGGAAATCAATGAAGGAAAGGTAGTTTGAGACTACACGTAGTGCAAGCATAATATATACTAATATAAAAATTGTTTAGCCAATATTAAAGATGGAAAGAAGAACCTTTCCTTAGTGGAGTCAAAAGTTGAATCTATGGAAAAATGAAACCACATATTCAAATGCACATATTTTTATCATCAAATGCTGCATTGAGAATAACATACCATCTTAGAAGATGGACATAGTATTTCAAAATGGATTCAAGAATAAAGATAGTGTTGAAAATTTTTATTGTCATAATCAAATATAATATGAAGGATGACATATTGTATCGAAAGACACACATGTTATTCTACCATGATTCTTTTCTCCTTAGGATGAATAATCTCATTTTCTTTTTTAAGTTGCACATCAATTTAAAATTTATATTTAAAAATAAAAAGACTCCATTAAAAAGTCGTTTATATTTCATATTTATTCATCACAATACACAATGCTAAACATTTTTTTCATCATTTGAACAACCTATAATTTGTCCATAATTTTAAATTTAGTTGGATAAAGTAACATAAGAACCTATAGAAAATTCATTAGTTTAATAGTCCCCCTTTCATAATAGCCCTATGTAAGCAAGGACACTTTTAGAAAATCTGATTAGTAATAAATATCAACATCAGTCCTAATAAAAAGACACCTAATGTTCATCATAGATCAGAAAAAATATCATAACATCATCATCATCATCATCATAGAATCACTCAACCTTCAAAACATTTAAACATATCCATTAAACTCATTTAATCATTTGCATTGAAAACATAAATATACATAATAAAGAATTCATTCAACATTCAAAATAATGCTCCTAACCTAAGGTTAGAGTCAGTTTCCCAAAAAAGTACAAAAAAGGTGTATGATAAGCTATGTAGCTAGTCAATCCTATTAGGATTTAGGGTTTCATTTTCTAATGCATAGGTTGTTTATGGGTCCAAGGGAGTTTATTTAAATATAAGTGCTAATGTGTTAAATATTTTATGAAACTTTTAGGATTCGTTGTTAAAATTTGTATTTAAAACTTTCAATAACATATTAAAAAATGGACTCATAGTGAAATGAGTTCAATAATTAGTAAGTCCTAAGAACGCAAAAAATGCAATATTCTTATCCAAAAGGACAAGATAAGCATATAACTCTATTTTCAAATGTTTTAAGAATTAAAGCTTATTATTTTAGGTTTGTTAAATACATTTTAAATATGCATTTTGAATTTTATTTAGGTCCTAAGGATTTATGAGATCATTACTTAGGTTGAAGACAACCTCAAAGTAATACAATAAATTTCTAAGGTTTTGTAATTATTTATTTTATTTAAATGAATTATTAAATTCAAGTTTGGCATATAGGGTTTTTAAGCTTATTTTAGATTTGATTTATGCTTGACTATGTTTAATAATTTTATTTTCTTTTTTGGTTGTATTTTTCTTTGATTTTACTTCAAATTTTGAGTCAAACTCATTTTATTTTATATATTTCTAATTTTTCTTTATTTATGTATAAATTTTCTAAGGGTCCATATGTATTTAATGAGTTAGGGTTTACTATTTAAGTTAGCAAATGTATTCAAAATTACCAAAAATTTGAACAATGAGTTTTATTACTAAACCAGGAACCAACTCATGAAATTTTGAACTCATTTGGAAGTCAAATTGACTAATTAATTTTTAATGGTTAATTAAAGGGGTAGGTTTGACTTAGCTTTCTTTAATATTTCAAGATTAAAATTTTGAAATCATTATTTTTTTTTTATTCTCTGGTTTAATCTAAGTTCAATTAACGTGATGTTATATTTTGTGATTTTAATAAAATTTACCACAAAGTTTTAAAGTTCAATTATACAATTAGGGCTTCATGATGAGATTTATTTAGGGTTTCATTATTTAAAACACCAAATGTATTCAAACTTCTATGTAGGGCTGTCAATATATGACACGACCCGAAAATCCGACTCGAACCTGACCCGATTTTTTCAGGTTCTGGTCAACCCGAACCCGAAACGGGTCGGGTTCGGGTTACATTTTTCGACCCGTTTTAAATATCGGGTCGGGTCCGGGTTGACCCGGAAACCCGATATTGACCCGGAAATGACCCGCTTCAACCCGCGCTGTCCAGCGATAAAGGCATAAAGCGATTCATGCGATTTAATTTAGGCATTTAGCTTTTAGGGCACATTTCTGCTTTACGAAAGTTCCGTCTTCATCTGATCGTCTCCTTCCTGGCTTCCTAGTTCCTGCGTCCTGCCTCCTTCATGGAGCTTCTCTCCTCGTCGTCTCGTCGGTGTCGTCGACGCGTCGTCTATTCCTCATTTCCTCTATTAAAGTATTTTTAATCTCCTATTCTCCTTCTTGCTCGAACTCTGAAAGCTCGTAGCTTTTCAGTTTGTTCTTTCTTGCTAGTTGCTAATTAGTTGCTATCATTTTAGAATTATCTTGGTTGAAGACTTCAAGTATCATCCTTGTTCGGTTATTTCTTCGGATTTAAGCTATTATGCAATTTTGCTTTTTATTTGCCGATTAGGGCTTAGGGTTTATTGTATCTTGGGTTGTATACTTGTATCAGTTGCTATCATTTTAGAGTTATCTTGGTTGAAGTATCACTGTTGAACATTTTTTTGGGTTGTATACTTGTATGACACTTTGGGCTATCGGTATAACTATTACTGGCTTAGGGTATATACTTTATTGTTGATGCTGCCTTTGGTTTTTGATCCTGAGCCCAACTACCACATTATCCAACTTCAAAAGAGCAGATACTTAGAATTTTATACTTGTTTAATTAAGTTTATTGCAGGTATATCTCTAAGTACATAGGTGATTGAAGAATGAAGACAGATTGTCTAATTCAGACATTCTTTGAGACTGGAGGCTGGACTCTCGAGCAGTTGAGTCTGAACCATTGAAGGCTTGAAGAGTTGAAGTCTTGAACCTTGAAGCTTTTATATTCAGTTATATTTACTTATTTACATATGTTATGTGAGATTGTACCTTTGTAATTGAGTAATTGTAATTTGTACATGTAAATTAATTGAAGATTTGCAATTGAAAAAAATAGCCCTTGGTTTTTACATTTCAACCATTTAAAAGTTAAAACAATAAAACCTGTTTAAATTTTTTAAAGTGCAGAAACGGGTAAAACGGGTCGGGTCGGGTTGACCCGGACCCGAGGCGGGTCGGGTCCGGGTCAGCAAAAATGACCCGTTTCAAGAAACGGGTCGGGTTCGGGTTGACCCGAATTGGGTCGGGTCAATTTCGGGTTGGACC